GTCTTAAGCAGGTGTCATGGTTGGATGTGGGTCTCTTGCTAGACTTCTGTACCATCTGGAAGTCCGGGTTAAGAACTTGGCCCACAGAGTTGCATTCAGGATGGAGCGAGATCAGGGTGGAATAACACCGGGAAATGACTTGGGCAAAGGGACCTTTCTAGTGGAAAAACAAACACAGCTTTGCCTCCCCTTCCTACGCAGTTTGTCTTAGAACCATAAGGTTTCTCACATCTCACAACCTTAATCCTGGCACATCCAAGGTCGCATGTGCTTTGCGGGGGTCAAGTCTGGTACTTACTCCCATACACCTGGGAGAGAGCTCCACCTGGGTGATTGTCCACAGGACTGGAAGGAGGCACTGTGATGGGTTAGTTAGGAGCTGCTGACTGGACAAGCACTGTAGGTGATGATGACAGGTGTCAAACAAGGATAAACACAGAAAAAGCCAGCAATGTTGAGCCTAGAAAGAGGGTGGTGGGTGAGGCTGGACAATAGCCACAAGGCTAAGCGACATGTACCACCGGGCATCACGGTCCCCTCTTAGAACCAAGCAGAAGGCAAAGTTATTCTGTAGTGGAGAAGTTGTGCACTCAAGGCCCACATGGGTAGGCCTGTGCACAAGTGTAGGTGGGATATGTAAGCTCCCCTAGGGATCATGGTGTGGGTCACCCTTAGTTAAGACCCCTGGCTCTGAGAATGCACAAACACGGAAGTACGCAGCACTCACCACCCACAATGGCAAGATTGTGTTGCCAAGGACAAAAAGCTAATTAAGACAGCTGAAAACAAATCAAACAACTAGGTTTCATGTATGCTTGAAATTCTTCAAGTAGTTTAAATGTGAGATTATTAAATGAAAGAAAAACTAAGAGAAACTCAAGAGTTGTTTTTCTTTTCTTTCATTTATAACCCCCTCTCTAATAGCACATGATTAAGGTTTGATGCCAAAAAAAATGTTTGTCTTTACAGCAGTAAATGGAAACTAGGTGGACTCCTCCGAGGGTGCCAGCTCATGAGAGAAAGCTGTGAATGTCATGGTGACCACAGCACTCTGCTCAAAGTTCTTACCAAGTGCCTCCCTCTGGCCTGACAGGTCCTGCAGCTCGTTAAATGAACACCACCCTGCTTTAAATCTAAATGGACTATTGATCCCACTATCTTGGAACGATTATTCTGAGTATACAAAGTAGTTCCTCCCTAATACGTGTCAGGCTAGGATAAAAAGTTAGGCTAAATATTGCTAAGTGAAAGTGGTGATTTGGAGAAAGCTCTGAGAGGCTCATTAGCTCTAAGTAGACCAATTAACTGCAGAGCCTCCTAAGCGCTGTGAATTCACTGCTCAGCTTCTGCCTGGCTTGCTCTCTCACACATTACAGATCGCCACAAGGTAGCAATTTGTATTACACGAGTGCTGCATTACACTCACCATGGACTCCCCGCTCCTGGCACCCGGCGCCTAAACATAGACCTAGAGGAAGCTCTACAGGTGTGTACTCAAGTGTTTCAAAGTACTAAAAAAATGCATTTTCAATTACTTCTTTTCTAGAGCATACACAGAAGTGAAATTACTACACTATTCACTTATTTACGAAGAAATTTTGCCAAATTGCTTTTTCTTGTCTTTTGCCCAGTTTTTTTTTCTGGGTTATTCATCTTTTTCCTATCAACCTAGTCTGCAGTGTTTTAAGAACTCTTAATCTTCTGTCTTTGTAAACATTTCCTCCCAATCTGTCACTTGCTTGAATCTTGTACTTTTTGACAGACACTAATTATTTTCCAATGTTTATACTTGGCAGGGCATTCGAATGGGGCTCTTGGGTCTCACTTCTGCTCCAGGCCTGCAGTGGGACCCAACGCTCCCAGGCCGAGGGAGGATGCCTGCTGACCTGCAGGACTGCTCAGCTGACGGAGGATCCCTCAGCTCGTCAGTCACTTCAAGGTTCCCAAACGGCCGGCCAGGCGAGAATCTCGGAAGGGGTTTTGCTAAAGAAAGTGAACAAAGGACCAAGTCCACTCCTTCCCACCACCCAGAGTGGGTAAGACTGCAGAAGGCGAACATGGAAAGGCTCGTGTCTACACTTGAGAACCAAGACTAGGGCCCACAGGAGAGTGTCAGAGGGACCCTGTCAGGAGCGCTTCTGCCACACCTGATGATGGCACCTGTGTGGCGGGAGGCTGGCTGGGCACCACCAATGCCTAGCACCAGAACTGGAGGGGCTGAGGACAACCTGACGGTGGCCCAGAGCAGGCCTGAGATGGAGGAAGACGGGAGCATGGATATGAATGAACGTAGAGCTTGTGATTTAGCTAAATTGGCACCCTTATTCTGTACCTCAACGGGCTAGTTTGTGACTGACTGTGACCAGGCCTGAGGAATTAGACGATACACAGATGGCAGAGAATCTACATATTACCTAGAGCAAGAGGAGCTACTGTGAATCACATCCAAGGACAGGGGATGAACCGGGTAGCAGGGAGGGGATGGGTTTGTTGATGGTGCCTTGGTCCCCAGGGCATTGCTGCACACATATCAAGGCAGCTGTGACAGTAGTACGACACTCCATGATCACGTCACAGCACGGGGCCAGAGTCCTGCGGTCTGCACATGCACAAAGACTGTGGTAGAGGTATTTGCAAGGGATCACGACGAAGCTTTACAAATGTAAAGAAACGCTGCTACCTGATCCAACAGGAGGAAACGGACTAGGACTCCATCAGCGTGCTGCAAGAGGAAGACAAACACAGGAGGAGTCCACTTGTATGACGAATCCAAAGGAGTAGCACTTGGGACAAGAAGATGTGGTTACAGGGTCCAGGGAAAGGGACGGGAGACCATTCACTGGGGAAAGGAAACTCTTCCAAGCTGAAGAGTTCTGGAGGTTGGTTGCACGACCATGCGAATACACTTCACTACTGAAACATATGCTTACATATTAAGATGGTAAAGTTCAAGTTATTTGTCTTTTACACTTAAAAGACCATTATTTAGAAATAAGTAACTAAATGAAAAAGGAAACAATGCTTATTGGCTACTCATCCATAATGTGGGAACACAACAAGGAGGAATGACCAGTGTGACTAAGTCTGCATGTGTGTCGGGTGCTCTGCCTGGGCTTGACATGTAACATCCCACTTAATCCTCATTTCAAACCTATGGGCCAAGCTCTGCTTTGCAGACAAACAGACCAAGGCACAGAAGAGTGGAGCCAAGATTAGAGGACATGAAAGGAGGTGAGCCATCTGGCAATGGACAGAGCTGATTGACAAAAATGCCCAGCAGTCACAGAAGGGATGGTAGAATACCTCCTGCCCTTTGCATAGTTCTCTATGTTTAGCAAGAGCCCTGGCTCACTGGATACTACTCATTAAACTATAGTGTATTTTCTTTTGATCCAAAGAGCTCTGGAGCAGTCAAGGAATGGCCACAGGACACACTGTCAGATAAGGCTGTGCCCACAGCTTCTGACTGTGGCTCCCTCTCACCCATCCACAGCCAGCTCCCCAGCTCACCCAACTCCTCATTTCTCAGATGAGAATGTCTACAAAGGACACACAGAGACGAGACGACCAGGGTTCATCCAAGGGTCACACAGAGTGCTAGTGTGTAGACCTCCACATAGACTTATACCTTTAAAGGTTCTCTGCCACGGCCATACAGATGTTTGATAAAGTACGGGCTGTTGCACAGGCAGAGAGCTCTGTCAGCAGAAAGCAGAGCGCTCCCCAGCCCCCTCCCCCCAGTAGTCCTGGTATTTGCACAGCTGATGCATTAGAGCCATTACTTCATTTCTGTACCAGACTTCTCAGTGCCGGCCCCTGTGCCGTCTCCTTCTCCATTAGCTCTATGATTATGCACGATCCATCAAGCGCAGCCACTTAGACAGCACGTCTGCCCACTCTGGTGGTGGGTCGGGCTTTGAGAAGGCCACGCTCAGGCCTACTGTGCGGAGACCTTTGAGGAACGGAACTTCACAAATCCTCACTTGCTCTTGACTTGGTGCCTATAGAGAATTCCGTCTCCTTAATGCTCAATGAACTTTGTGTTACATAAGCAAAAAAGAGCAGTGCTACAGTCTTTCTGTCTGCAGAATCTTTTCTAGAATAACTCACTTCTCAGTTGAATACAAGGTTGGAAATAAGTGAAAGAAGTGACTGATATTCTTCTTTATAGAGATGCATGTGGTTAAAGAGAATTCTTTGCTGCCATGCTCAGTTTGTCAGTGGAAACCCTCTCATGCCACATTCAGGTCCTTTCCAGAGTTCTTGCTTGATTTTGTTTTGTTTCCTCCCAGCTTTATGACCATGGGGAAGCTCAGGGTTCGGCCTGACTGAGCAGGACTCCGGATGGAATATGTAACAAAAGCTAAATGGGTGCAGGCATCACAGAGAACCTGACAGAGGCAGGAAGGGTAAAGTCCTACCAGTTACAACTGCTAGGTCACAAGAACACACCAGGATTCCAGGAAGAGAAAACCGACTTCAAGTTACAAGTACTAGTGTTAATGTCACGAACAACACTGGCTGCCGTCCAGCAAGCACCAGCCTGCCCCCCCAGGGCCATGCCTGGCCTGCTGTGCGCAGTGGTGCATCCTCAGCTCCACACACCACGTCTTCTGCGTAACGTGCTCCCCACAGAGATTTGCTGGGTAACTGAGTAATCTTGTTTTCATGACAGCCCTATTGTTAGCACTATTTAACAGAAGAGAAAATTGGCACTCCGTGATAATTATAAAGCATACCGGATCACCTGTTCAAGTCAGATGTCAGAACCAATATTCAGATCCATTTGTAATCAAAGATCACCTTTAGTTCAACTACAAAATAATTTCATAAGTATAGAACAGACCTTTGAGTTCTTCTAATACTGAGACGATCTATGACAGATGGGTCTAAAATAATGTATTTCACATCTGCATCCAAGCAATCTGTTCCAGGCATCCTCTGTTAGAGGATGTGTATGCTATACACCGTCCCAACTGAATGGAAATAAACTGACTTACCTACAAATCCTTCCTCACCAACCAGTTTCAGGGCGATTTTATCAGCCAACACCGAAGAGTTGCCATGAGCAATGTTGGCAAAGGGGCCGGCATGTACAAACACAGGCGTTCCCTAAAGGATCAGAAGAACAAATTAAATCCCAAGAGACAAGTGGAAGCCTCGAAACCAGGATTCGCTGGGGCAGACAAGATGAAACAGACTGCAGGGTATTTTAGAGCTTTAAGTATTCCTTCTAGCATTTACTTACTCTGCACATTTACTAGACAAAATCAAAGAGTTGAAACACGTGATGTATACAAAGCACAATTCCTGAGTATTCTAGAACACTGCTATGATTTTGCATTTAATGCCAAACCAATACAAGTCATTTCTAACTGTAATATTACCAAGCTACCGTGCGTGTGCCACCTCAGCGACCATGAAATAAGCTATGTAACCTATTTTATATTGCTCTGCACTGTAATTTTCAACAGCAAAGAATTACTTCCTATTGGTTTAAGAGGCCTATTTAAGAAAAATCCAACGTATGCTCAAAAATCAATTCAATCAACGAATTAAGTCATAGCAGGCCAAACACATACTGATTTATTGAGTATCGGCAGTTTGCATCTTAATTATAACTGCAATTCTGACATTTCAAAGTTCTATTTAACTGTTTCTCATTGTTTGTCTTATATGCTGGAAATCTGATAACCATCAAGATAACAAGAGCAGAGAAAAATTTCACCCATAGTAAAATGTTAGACTATTAGTAATGAAAATGGATGAGAAGGAAACACAAAACAATCATCCGAAGCTTTAAATTTTAATTCTTTAAACAAAACCTTCATTCATTTTGAATGTGATTTCTACATATTTTCCTCTTCCTTATTGATGACAATAGACCAGAACAGTTATCCACATGCATTAATGTATTTAAGCTTTATTCAGAGCCCAGCCAAGGCCACTGGGATCCGTGCATACCGAGCTTGGCTCCACCTGTGAAAATACGGGCTGCCCTTTCACTGACACAGGGTGGGGTGGGGAGCAGAGGCAGGGAGCCATGCCGGGGGCCAGGGGACTGGAGCCACGGAAAGTTCCCATGAACCATGACGGGCTATTAGCTGAACACTTCTCAAAGATGAGAAAGCTGAACAAAAGCAGGAAATGAAAGAAGAGTCCCCTCTGAAGATGAAAAAGTTTCTCAAAGCCACTATACGAAGTTTTCTATTGACATCCTCCTCCATAGGTCCTCAGGAAGTACAATACAGGGCCTTGACAAGGATACACATGTGTGCGGCTACGAAGCTAGCAACAGCCAACACAGACACATATGCCTGTAGCCTGTGACCACCTGGCTGCAATGAGACACATGGACAGCTCAGCCTCCCTGGGGCAACTACCAGAAGTTGCTGGTATGGCCACAGCAGCATTCTAATTAAAGACAAGGACAGAGGCAGGCTTCAGGGGCAGTAATTAAGTCCCTGTTTGGGTCATCCACATCTCAAGTCTGAGTGCCCAGTTTGAGTCCTGGCTTCTCCACTTCGGATCCAGCTTTTTGCAAATGAAAACTCGCTAATGACGGCTTGGTAAGCTCACGTATAACAGAGCTAACAATGAGCACAGAAGCACAGTCTGTAAGCTAATCGGTGACGTCCAGGCTGTCCACTGGTGTGGCTTCCTAGTGTCATCGACTGACTAAATCAATCAGAGCGGCTATGAAGGATTCAAGACAGAAGGGGCCAGGCATGCACATACTTAAACTGAATTCTGTGTTTCATTTTTCAAACAAGAGTCATAATCCATTAACTTCAGCCATAAAACAACCAAGGGTTTACATGAAAAACACACCAAACTGGTGACGCTGATGTGTGCGGAATACATTCTTAGACAGGCTACAGCTGTCTGAGACTATGGATAGTACAAAAATCCATATAGATTATATCTACTTAACATATCCATGATAAAGACGGGAAGAGTATAACTTACAGATGAGGCATAGTAAGAGATGAACAGCAATAATAGAACAACTATAATAAAAGTCATTAAAAACTTACTAATTAGGTCAATGCTGTGCTGCACCTAGTTAAGCCACCACTAGGAATGCTGACATCACACAGCACAGCATCGATTCAGGTCTCAGCTGCCCCACTTCTGATCTGGCTTCCTGCTAATGCGCCCAGGAAGCCAGTGGGAAGACGGTCCCCACGTCTCTGTGAATCCGCAGACACGATCTATCTATACCTCATTCACTTCTTTGTCTCTCTGCCTTTCAAATAAAGCAATAAATTCCTTAAAAAAAACTTATGAATTGTTTCTTCCTGGATTTATCTGCTTAATATTTTGGACTGTGGTTGACTGTACATAACTGAAACCACAGGCAGGGGTGTGGCAACTACCAAAGCGTGGGAACCAGACTGAGGCAGCCTACTCACTCATTCCTCTAGCAGAAATCAGAATTTCAGAGTGCAGAACACCTAGAGGTGCAGGCCGTTCTTCCTTTCTTTTCAAGATTTATTTATTTGAAAGGCAGAATTATATAGAGACAGGAAGACAGAAATATCTTCCATTCCTTGATTCATTGCTCACATAGCCACAACAAGTTGGGGTGGACCAGGCTAAGGCCAGAAGCCAGGAAATCCACCCAGGTCTCCCAAGTTGGTGGCAGAATCCAAGCACTTGGCCATTTTCCTGTTTTCCAAGGTTATTAGCAGGGAGCTTCATTGGTAGTGGAGCAGTTGGGACTCAAACTGGTACTCATATGGCACACAGGTGTCAAAGGTGGTGGCTTATCTGCTGCGTTACAATGAGAGCCCCAAGTTATTTTTCATATGAAAAATGGGATAGCTTAAAACAACACAATGATTTTCCCTCAAAATAAGTGTTTATTTTTGAGGGAGCAGTGTTATGAAGTAGTATTGTATCTTGTTTTTCTTTCACATTCATATATTTATTTAACAAGTACAGTAATAAACATCTATTCAATAAGCATTTAGTGAGCACCTCATAAGATACTTTTAGGAGCTGAGAACATGGTAGTGACCAAGACAGAAAGATGCTGCAGTGGTGGGAAGAGAATTGCAGGGGACAGAAAAGCATCCTGTGTTATGAGAGAGGAAGACGCAGGGGTAGAGAGCCCGGGGCTGTCCTGCACCCAGCAGCCTGGCCGAGCGTCACCCGGGCAGACCCGCAGGAGCTGGACACCCGAAGATCAGAGAGAGCACTCCAAGTGCCTGCCATGCAAGAAGCCTGGGCAGGGAGCAAGGGGCAGGATGAGAGGGGTGGGAGTGCCACCAGATCCTGGACCTTTCCAGGCTAGAATGGGGCTAGGCATGAGCCACCGAAGGATGCTCAGCAGGAAGGTAGGTGGCTGGATGAGGTTTTCAAGCTTTCTGGCTTCCAAGCACAAAAAGGATTTTGGAAGTATAGAGCAGAAACAGAGGGTGAGTGGGAAGCTGCCACAGGGGTACAGGTGGGGGCTGTGGGGGCTGGATTAGGGAGGGGCAGGGAGAGAGGTGGACAGCACATAGTGGAGGAAGGCTGTGAGGATGAGAAGGGATGATGGCAGGGAGAGGCCCCCAGGATGATTCCTGTTTTTTTCTGAACAAGCAGCAAGCAAGGAGTGGGTGGAAATCTAAGGAGGAGCTCCATATCTCTGATGGAAATGGTCATGGCTCTCGTTTAACTAGGCCAGCGGGTCTGCAAGCCCAGGTTAGGAGGCTGAGAACCAGTGTGTGGCCAGAGAGGGACGGGGTGCAGCCTCCCATACCCACAGGTGAGTTGAAGAGGAGAAGGCAAGGGGGAGGTCAGGGAAAGAACCTGAGCAAGCAAGGAGCATAAGAAGTCAGAGCAGCAAGCATTCCGCAGGGAAGGCCACACAGAGGGACATGTCATCAGGTGGATTTGAAGGCCAGTTAACATGGAGACCACTGTTACAGATATTAGAGTCTTCCTGAGGTCAGAGCAGTACCAGGTGGCAACTCAGGGTGTTGGAGGTCTTAGAAACAGTTTCGTTTGGCTTTCAGAAGGTCTACACCAGAGTGTGTGTGCGCATGCTGCTGATGGGATTAGCCATGGGGAGGTAGATCCTAGTGCTCCAGCAGGTGGGTCCCCCAAGGCATCCGGTTCTCCCTCACCTGCGGCTGCTGGACCCAAGGATGACATTCTTCTACCTGCTCTGCTCAGCTCCAGGGACATCTCTGTCCCTCACTGGTCCCTCTAGCTATGTCTGGTGTCACCATTATCCTTTAACTCCATCCCTGCTCATTCTGCCTTCACACCACGAAGCGTATCCCAGTGCCAGGGTCTCTGCACTCAGGTCACCCCTTGTCTGACTGGCTCCTTGGCTTGCCTCTGTCCAAGTAGGGCTTGAACAAGTAGGTGGGTGGGCTCCTAGTTACCCACCCCACATCTCCATCTCCTCATTCACTCTGATGCCCCTCCACAGCATTAATGCCAGCTAGCAACAGAATATACATTTACTCACTTAGCTATTATCTGTCTCTTCCATTAACCTAGGACTCTGATGAGAGGGCAGGGACCTTGGGTTGTTCCCTGCCGTGTCCATAGCATCTCCTGTGCTCTGCTGGCCCAACTTATGTGTTGGAAACATATGGAATCTTCACAATAACAGAGGCTGAGACGTGAAGTACGTTGGTACCCAGCACAGCATCACCTCTGCCTCAGCTGCCTCTCTGCTCAAGGAAGGAACGGATGGACTGTCTGCTCTCTTTCTGCTGTGTCCTGGGCACACGCAGCCTCTGCTTTCCTCCCCACTTGCCTCTGTCCCTCAGCAGAGTGGGGACTAAAAGCTTGCTTGTGCCCTGGACAGGACATGGTTTCCTCCAAGGAACGGGCTATACAACACTTTGCAGTGTACCCTGTGTCCCTTCCTCCATTCCCCTCATCACCCCCACTTATCTCTTCCCTCAACTTGACCCAGATCCTGTCTCCTTGTGTGGACCCAAACCCTGGGGTCTCATTAGCTGAGAGGAAGCAATTAGACATTCACTTGATCAAGTGAGGACAACTAGACACTAGAAAATTAGATTAAGACAGAGAAATCTTCAGGAAACAATGGGACCCAGTAAAGGCAAGAGCAGGGTAAGCCATGGACAAAAATAATATCCTTCTAAAAGTGGAGCACTGCCTGCTTTCCTGCAAAAAGCTTCTTGGCATTTACTACTATATTTTGCTTGGGGAAAAACAAATAAAACAAACCCTCAAATCTAAAACCCAATGACACGAGATATTACGCTAAAAAAAGAAAAACGGGAAAATAAACTTGATTGTACAATCAATTAGAACACTATAGAGACATTGGGTTCTTAATTTTTTTACTCTGGTCAAGACGAATCCGAGCAAATACTCCATTAACACACTTCACATGTTTTTTTTATTGTCCTTTCTTTCTCTTTTTCATGATCCAGAATTCCCGTGCTGCCCCAGCCTGGTTCTTCATGGCTGACAACACTCACATTCCACAGTGACACACAGGCAACCTGCTCAGTGCCAACTCCATAAACAATGACCGTAACAAGAAAACCACTTACTTCGAGGGTCTGCATCAGATTCGGTTTTATTGCATCTTTCATCAGAACTGTTAAGGCACCTGTCACCCCCTAAAGGAGAGGGAGAAAAACAATTTAGATTCCTGGCAAAAGAACCTAAGGCAGTGTCACTCGAGTCTTGGCTGCTGCCTACCAGTCTGCTTCCAACGTGGCTGCCCTCTACCTGTGAGTCAAAGCGGACCTGGCACAGCCACCCCCATCTACTCGACCGGGGTCAGGCATGGATGCAGCCATTTTGTTGACAGGCAAGTGGTAGCCCTTGTTCTTCCCAAGCCTTCCTTGCTGGTATAATGGAGTTTTGCAGTAAATAGGTCTTTTAATCCATTTGAAAGAATTTTCTGGCAATTTAGGCACATTATACTTTTATAATGTGCTTTACTATTACCCAAAGAAATCCAACAAAGAACTCAAACAGGGATAGTGACAGAGACAAAGTAAGGGGAGATCAAGGGCAATGTTGCACAGTGCCCATTCGGTTTCTGTTCTCTAAACCTTCCATGCCCAGAAGGAGGTCCCTGGAAGGGCTGGGGCAAAGGGCCTTACACTCTTTCCTCAGAGGAAAACCGCTGCCTCTTACATGGAAGTATTTCACATGTTTAAGGAAAACAGAGTTAGGTCATTCTACCCTTCGCCCCAACTTTTTAAAATTCATGTATATAATGGAGTCTTTAAAAAAATGTTTATGGAAATGTATATATAAAAAGCAGCAATGTATGGATTTAAAAATATTTTGTACCAAAGAAATGTATCCTTTTGAATTCATCATTTCTTTGAAAAGCAGAAAAACAGGGAGGCAGAGATCTCTTACTTGTGGCTCATTCTCCAAATGCCTACAGCTGTATGAGCTGGGCCAGGCTGAGGCAAGCAGCCTGGAACTCCACCTGCGTCTCGTATGTCAGTGTCAAGGACGCATCTACTGGAGCACTCACTATCCCCCAGAGTGCATGTTAGCAGACCACTGCAAGTGGAAGGGGAGCTGGGACTTGAACCCAAGCTCTCTGATACCGGATGCCAGACACACTGTGCTGAATGCCTGTACTAAGCTTATTGTTTTTTCAATCCCATTTTCCCCAAAAATTTCTAAGGTTGTCTCCTTTCAGGCCTAGGAAACGCTGAGCTGGCTTCTTTCTAAATCACTTTTTTTCTAGAGAAAAGAGAGAAGGAAGAGAGAGAGACAGTCATGATACCTGAGAACTGATGGCATGTTTTGGTTCTAAATGAGATGACACTATTCATTTTTCCTTTCTCACTAATCTTTTCTCTCCTTGCTAAGCTTGGGCCATGTGTTGTTTTCAGCAAATTAACCAATTGGAAGACTACATATAACTGAGTCAGTACGTGTGAACGGAGCTCTGGATTTAAAAAGGTGCCATCGCTCGTTGCACACAGCATCACAACATGCAGTCCCATTTCACCCTGGCACACCAGTCCTCACAGATCTCACAGCAGGTTCTTTGGAACCTTCCACATGGCAGAGAGCATACTTCCTCCCCCTAATTCTACCACACAATTTAGTCATTTGAATTCTATAAGAAAATGCACTCTAATTTCCCACAATACTGTACAAAACGTAACCCACTCATTTACCAAAGAAAGGTGCAGGGCAAGGGCCCAAGGAAATGAAGCCTTTCTCCCTAACACAGAAGAGGTGGAAGCAGAAGGAGTCGGCCAAGTCTTCTGTGCTACCTGCAAGGGTTTGAGCATGGCTTATTCCCTCTGAAGCTCACACTGCGATTGAGTCACGGGACATGAGGAGGGGGAACCATTTGGGATCCACCTAGGAGGAAGCTCTTGTGGCTGTCGCATCCTGTGAGAGCTCTGCCACCTGATGTGCACTGCCAGTTTTCCATGCTCCAGGGCTGTGATGGGAACAGCCTGGACACCTGAGTACTCCTCCAAAGCAAATCAGAACCACAAGAAAATGAGCAGCTCCTAAAATTCTCCTTCAGTGTCTTACTAATGACCAACTACTGATAGCTCAATTAAGATGGTCCCTGTCACCTACATGGGAGACTGGGATGAAGCTCCGGGTTCCTAGCTTAGCCCCGTCTATTGCAGTGATCTAGGCACAGCAAGGGTGGGTGTGTGTGTGTCTGGAAAGGGAACCAGTGATTGGAGGACCTGTCTGTCTCTCCTGCTGTAACTTACAAATAAAGAAATCTTAAAAAGAAATGAATTACCGTCCACAAATAACAGATATAAAAACGACCGAACTCTAGATTTGTTCTGAATCTGACATTACTCTCACACACAGAAGTTAAATTAGGGAAATTCTGGAGGGTTGCGTTTGAATTAAGATTAGTACCCTATAGGAAAATGTATGCCCACAAACTATAGTGTTAGCCTCGATAGAAATGGTGAGAAATACACACTTTCTACAAAGCAGCACTTTCGCAGCACACTGAATCGGGCTTTCTCTACAAGCTTGAAGTATTTCGTGGGGTCAGCAACACAAACACATCTAATTCAATTTTCTTGATGAGACCCATGAAATGAGTCGGTCACATTCATTTCTTTAAACGTAGCCTAAAACACTCAGGACGCGAAGCCAGTGGAATGAATCGAACACACTTGCCTATTTTCTTGCATCGCCATGTTTCAACTGTCAGTTTGAATTTCTAGTCCCATTTTGTCTAGGACTCCATTAAGTGGGAGAGCAAGCATAAATGTGGAGCAACGCTTGATGGGTAGGTCTGTCAAACCTGTACAGTTCCAAAACATGTTCTAAGCATGGCACTGCTGTGTAGTTATTATTATTAATAGAGTTATTAAAAAGAACCACAGAAACGAGGGTGCTGGATTAGAACACAAAGTGGTGTGGCAGGCTTCCATTTGCACTTCGCACAAAGATCCCCTCCACTCTAACGCGAGAGGAGACTGAGTAATCGAGATGCAGACGTGCTCTCATGAGGCAAAACCCAAATCTGAGGAACAAAATTCAATCAGCCAGAGTGCCTAGGGAGCAGGTGCCAAAATGTGTCAGTGCTGGCTTCCGCTTTCCATTCACAAACACAGGGCCCCCTAACCCACTCCTCAGAAAGCAGACTGGCCCTCAATTCAAGGTGGGCATATACCAGACATCTTAAGGCCAAGGGAAGCAGGGCGCTGACCCCACGCCACCCTAGACAGAGACCTGGACTGGCAAGCATGGTGCAAAGCTGCATGCAAGTGTGATGGTGTCACAAATGCTGTGAGTACACGAAGAGGCTGTAAGGAAAACAGTCTTAGGAGGGGGAAAATGGGTGTGTGTTTTTATGAATCCCCGTTACAAGTGGAGGAAAAAATGATTAGCAAACAGCAAGGACAGTGAGTGAGCTTCCACACTGGACAGTACTCACCAAATCCTCTGCCGTGACAGGCTGCCCGTCTTTGTCACTGGCCACCACCATTCTTCCCAGCCGCTCCTTCATGTCAGCGAGGCTGTCAGTCAGGGCCAGCACCGCCATGATCTCGCTGGCCACAGCAATGTCAAACTGTGCCTGAACCAAACAAAGCAAAGGCAGGGGTCAGTTACAGCACAGGGAGCTGGGGTTCAGCACTGAAGTGCCTGCAGGTCGGGGCGGGGGGCTTCCTAACTTCCGAGGGGCGGGAGCACATGCAGGGCAGCCTCCCCAGAGCCCACACTCTCCATCGTGTTCTTTGAGAAGTGGTGGGTCCAGTGAGGTTTCCCAGAGCACCTGCTCACAGCAACACGTGGCTGCTCTTGTAGTTGAACTCAGATCTGTAATGAATTCTGTTTAAAATACTTCTTGCTATTTTTTTTTATTTATTATTTTCTACAATGCGGTTTTACAGGCATAACAGTTCATCCCTCCTTCTCCCCTTTTCCATCCCACTATTTGCCTCCATATTATCACAACTGTCCTTTAGTACACATTACAGGCTTAACTTTCTCATATTTAAACATGTCATGACATGGTAAAAGGTAGAAAAACCTAATATTGTAATGTAAAGGGGTAAGTTACATTGGAATTCCTATTTTACTTGGAAGTAGAGATGCTTACTGTATAGCACCATTACTTCCTGGTATGCTAATCTCCCTTGTACAGTTAATATATATCTATCTATATTTATTTATCTGCATATACACATAATACATATAGATCTTATACTTCACGTATTGGTTGGCTTATATCAGAGAGAAAAAGTGATGTTTGTTCTTTCGGAATAGGCTTACTTCACTAAGCATAATGATTTCCAGCTGGGATCATTTTTTTGTTTTTGGTGAACCATAAGATTTCATTCTTTTTTTTTTTAATGGCTGAGTAGCATTCCACAGAGTAAATGTACCACAATTTATTATCCATTCATCTGTTGATACGCATCTGGGTTACTTCCATGTATTCTCTATTGTGCATTGGCAACTTTAAAAAATTATTTTTAATTTGAAAGGCAGATTTACAGAGAGGAGAGATGAAGAAAAATCTTCTATCCACTGGCTCACTGTCCAAATAGCTACTATGGACAGAGCTGAGGTGATCTGATGCCATGAGCTTCTGCTATGTTGCCCACATGGGTGCAGGGTCCCAAGGACTTGGGTCATCCTCAGATGCTTTCCTGGGCCATATGCAGAGAGCTGGATGGGAAGTGGAACAGCCAGGACATGAATCAGTGCCCATATGGATGCCAACGCTTCAAGATGGAGGATTAAGCATGTTCAGTCATGGTGCTGACTCCAGTAATTAGTTCTTAGTATCAGTATCTATTTGAGACATAGCTCTGCCTCTGGACTGTTACAGCTACGGAGGCAAGAGCCACACTTGGAGGGTCCTCCCGGGAAACCCCAGCAGGGAGGCCTGATCAGGACCCCAGGACTCCTTCAGTACATGAGACTGCTAAGTGGACAGTCAGTGCTGGGTCCGGGCAGCCACGCGCTAAGGCACAGGTGGTTGCAGGAGATGGCTCTCGTGGCTTCCTGCGTGTGAAGCCAGTTCCCCACAGTGAGGTCTCGATACAGGAAAAGGCACACTCAAAGTCATGTGTGTTACAAAACCAGCTTTCAGCTGCCCCGAGCATGTGGCCATGTCACAGACCTTAAAGCTCCATGCAACGAAAGGCAGAGAGTAACAGTTTTCTAGAAAACACTCCCCGGAATTCCTATCCCTGCCTGGCTCTGACCCAGGCTGTTCAAAGTCCAACAGGAGCCAGAAGGGATGTGAGAAATGTGTACTTCCTCATCCCGTATTTCAGCCCCCGGGAAAGTTCTGGTAAAAACGGCTTCACTATACTCTTGCTTAACTCTCTCCTTCTCAAGGGAAGTGTGAGCCAGGCAAGTGCAAGCTGACAGAGAGGCAATGTGGCCGTGTCCTGCAGGACTGCCTTATGAGACATTTTATTGTCCATTTCCATCGTTGACAAATGCGGAAAAGAAGCTAATTCAGTGTTTTCTGGTTCCTTCCTGGATGAGATTGTACTAGTCATTGATTTAGAGAAAAAATACTGCCCCAAAAGTCAAATGCAATCATATTCAATTATACACACAATGTAAGTCACTCTAAACCAAAGTGATTTTTTCATTGTATGCGATTTAGGGCTCTTTCCATTCCATTATACAGTCATTGGAAGAAAATGACTAAAATATTGGGTTTTTTTTTCTTTTTTGGGGGTAGAGAATATGAGACTATAAATATTCTTGTAATGCTGTCCAAGAAATAGAATTTATAATGTATACATATGTTTTTCAATCCAGAGGTAATTAACGTCAAAAGTTGTTGAATGTCTGTCTCGCTTCCATTTTAGGTGCACCTATTTGCATGGCACATGTACACTTTGCCAAATCCAAATAATGATGTAAAAAAAAAAAATGAAACCTTCAATTCTTTGCATCCTCATGCATATTTAGTGCTATGTATATCTTAATAAGCTCACAGGTAAATGCTACTCCATTGTGTTAATCAGCAGGTTTCTGATTACTGGTGGAAAACTGCTCAAAAAAGAATTTTTTTTTTCAAAAAAGAATTTTTTTTTTCCAAAAAGAATTTTGAGACACACACATAAAGATGGAAGAGTAAGGAAGAGACAGAGAGAGAGAATGCTCATCCGCTGGCTCAAACCCCAAACGCCTGCAGGCTCAAGCCAGGAACCAGGAACTCAACCTTGGTGTCCACCATGAGCGGTAGGAATGAAGCTAAAGTCAGGCGCTCACGCTGGGCTCCAACCCTGGCATCCTCGCATGGCCTGTGGCACCTTCACCAGCATCTTCACAGCTAGGACAGGTGCCTGACCTGGAGAATCTTGCCAAGTTGATATTTTATTTCTGTCTGTGAAATGTTTTTAAAATTTTGCTTTTATTTGTTAAAAAATTTTAATGAGTATTCATTGCTACTATATACTAAAGGCCCATTCAAAGCATGGGGGGATGCAGCAGAGAATAACAAAGGCAAAGCCCCCTGTGCCAACAAGACAAGCAGGCATGTGCTTTGCTTCCAGGAGAGGAAGGAGGGAGGCAGGTTATGGGCAGAGTTTTCAGAAAGGCTGTTGTAGTTCTCAGTAAGCTGCCAGGAACAGCCTTGCTGAGAGATCACTGAATATTAAGTTCCAGAAGTTCTTACATTTGGCACATTACTCCTTTGTTGTAGCTGTTGCAAAGATTCAATTCCCAAGCTGTCACTCGTTTCTACACTTTTGCGTGTGAAGACGTTCAGTGTGGATTGCCCTGAAATGATCTCTTCCCTGTGTATTTGATGCTGGGGACTGGCTCCTCATCACTGGGGACTGGCTCCATCATCACTGGGGACTGGCTCCATCATCACTGGGGACTGGCTCCATCATCACCGGGGACTGGCTCTATCATCACTGGAGACTGGCTCCATTGACAGTGGGGACTGGCTCCAACATCACTGGGGACTGGCTCTATCGACAGTAGGAACTGGCTCCATCATCACTGGGGACTGGCTCCAACATCATTGGGGACTGGCTCCATCATCACTGGGGACTGGCCCCATTATCACTGGGGACCGGCTCCATCATCACTGGGGACTGGCTCCATCAACAGTGGCTGCTCCTGGCTCTGGTTTACTGCAGGTAGTTTCAGAGTTTTTTCCTTGCCCATGTGATTCACCATTGCTATTGCTATCTTCCTCTCTGCTAAAGGACTTGGGCCTTCAGAATTCTGAATTCATCCCCCGGGGTCTTCTGCCTGGTCCATAAGACTTCTTCCTTTGGGACAGCACAGGGCCTTTCTTCTCTAGCCATGGCTAGGAGTTATTGGTTTGTTTGCTTTATAAGTCTATTTTTTTTTTAATTTTAAAGATTTATTTATCTTGATTGCAAAGTCAGGTATACAGAGAGGAAGATCTTCTGTCTGGTGATTCACTCCCCAAGTGACCACAACAGCTGGTGCTGCGCCGATCTGAAGCCAGGAAACAGGAACTTCTTTCAGCTCTCCCACACGGGTGCAGGGTCCCAAGGATTTGAGCCATGTTCAACTGCTTTCCCAGGTCACAAGCAGGAATCTGGATGGGAATCACCACCCATATGGGATTCCGGTGTGTTCAAGGTGAGGACTTAAGCTGCTAGGCCACCGCACCGGGCCCACTTCCCTCTATTCTGAAGTTTCAACACTGTGTGTCTGGGTGTCTTTCTTACTCATCCCACTCTACACTTTTTACATTCTTTTCATTTGAAAAATCATGTTTCCTTTCAAGTCAGGAAATTCCCTTTAAACTCTTTCTTTAAAGACATTTTTCCTCCATTTTCTATTACTTTCTTTGGCAACACCTGTCGTATGTCTGTTAGAACTCGCCAGTGCAGTCTGTCGTATGAATTTGTCTTTCCTATCTTCTGTCACTTTCTGCTTATGTCCTCTAAGTTTCTTGGTTTAGATGCCCCTCCCTGGCACACTTGTGCCTTCCTTGGTTATGCAGTTCAGGAATCGGAGTCTGACGATTACAGTTCTGTTTTCAGGGTTTTCTTCACAAACTTTCTGAAGAAGCTCCTAAATGCACTGAATACAATGACAAACTGCTATGGAAGATCCTGGCCATCTCATCTACCGGACACTGAATTTAGTGTCAGTCTACATGACACAGCCTTTTTTTTAACATTGGGCAACTCGGGCCCAGCGCGGTGGCGCAAGTGGTTAAGGTCCTCGCCTTGCACGCCCGGGATCCCATATGGGCGCCGGTTCTAATCCCGGCAGCCCCGCTTCCCTTCCAGCTCCCTGCCTGTGGCCTGGGAAAGCAGTCGAGGACGGCCCAAAGCTTTGGGAACCTGCAACCGTGTGGGAGACCCAGAAGAGGCTCCTGGCTTCGGATCGGCATAGCATCGACCGTTGCACTCACTTGGGGAGTGAATCATAGGACGGAAGGTCTTCCTCTTTGTCTCTCCTCTCTGTATATCCACCTTTCTAATGAAAAAATAATAAAAATAAATCTTTAAAAAAACAAAACATTGGGCAACTCCTGGCTTCCCACACCCTCTTTCCTTGTCTATGGAAGCCCATCCCTGACTTGTCTTAACTCAGGAGGGCAGGATCCCCACCACTGCTGGCTCCCCACCCGGTGCCACTCACTGGGCCACTCCTAGTTCCGAGCAAAGTCAACTGCAAATGGCCAAAGGTGGTCCTTGCCTGCCCCAGCTGTCACAACATATTGGTGTTTGTTTCCACTGATACCTTCTAGACAAGAGGCACAGCATACAAAATAATAGAGCAAATTTATGTTCTCTTAAGTGCCACTGACCTACATCAGAGATCTAGTAAAATAAAGACAGGCATCATAATTTTTCTCCTATAAGTTTCTTTGTTTGGGTAATAAGCCAGTGTCCTTCATAAAACAGTTCATGCTACTAAGCCTAATCATTCTTCGGCTTATGGAATCTGAGTAGGGCATCTGAGATTTTCATTTTTAAGTTGTCATGCAGATGTTGTATTAGCTGGGTGGTTTTTCAATAAGATGCTTAAGGCTTTATATTCAAGGGACCGTCTGAGTGGCTTTTCCCACAAACACGAGTGAAAACAAGAAAAGGATGGTAAGAAGGGACAATTGCCACACCAACTCCCACTCCCATTCCTCCTACAAAACCCCGGTCCTGCTGAAGGACTGTGGAAGTGAAGAGCAAAGGGCCCTCTGTGGTCCCATGGAAACCAAGGCCAGAAAAAACGCAGCCACTCCTGGCAAGCAGCGCCACCTACCTGCCGGGAACATCCCTTCTCCGTGCCTGCTTGCCCAATGGTTATTTTCCTGAGAAATCGGTCATTGGTGTCCACCACTGAAAGAGACGGGAACAGATTTCTCACCCACTTGACGAGGATGGGCTGGTCTCTCTATTATATTTGGACACTATTCTGATGCCAGGGAACTGGCAGAAACCAACAGAGACAAGGTGCATGTTTCCTCCAAGGATTCAGACCAGAAAATACCTCCTAATGCTAAATGCCCAAGGAGACATAGTGTGTGTCAGTAATGGTGTGGCAGGCATGTCTTTCTGGAGCCCGAAGGACCAGAACCCAATCTGATTTCTCAAAAGAGTGGACAAACTTGTACAACAACCTTAGGACCTGGCAATTCCATTCTTGCACAGCATTCAAAAAACTTGAAAGTAGGGTCTCAAACAGATATAGACTCATGGTTGCACGATTAACAATGGCTCAAAAGTGGAAGCAACCAAGTGTACAGCAATAGTAAGAGGAGAAGTAAAAAGTAGTATGTACATTATGTACATATGGGCCACACAAAGGAAGGGAGATTGAATACAACTTTGGATGGATGCTGGAAGTATTATGTATGGCTAAATAAACCAGAAACCAAGGACAAACACTGTGTGGTTCCATTTATGCGAGGTACCTAGAAGAGCCAAATACACAAACATAGAAAGTATGACAGTGAAAACCACAGGTAAGGGGGGAGTTATTATTTGATGGGCACAGATATGTTTTTTCTGATGAAAAGGTTTTGGGTATAGATGGTGGTGAGAGTGTAATCATTGTGAATGTATTTAATGCCGCACACCACACACTTACAAGTGGTTAAAATAACTGCTATGTTACATAAATATGACCATAATTTAAAAATAAAAGTGAATCAAATATTATTCGGGAGGGAGCCAATCATGATTAAAGCAAGCAACAGTTTGCTTATTTTCTTCATGGGGTTGCTACAGTAATTGAGGTTTTGTTTGTGAAACCTCGATATGGTTTAGTGCAAACCAACTTTACAATGCCAGAAATAAAAACCAGGAGGACGGAGGACAGAGACCTCCCCAGATAACTTACGATGCTTCTGACAACTAAGATTTGATTTACCAAATGTGTAAGAGGACACTGAGGAAGATGGCGAAGGAAATTACGTGTTGGGGGCCCACGGGCACACATAGGATGGCAAGACCACCCCCTCCTGTGCCGTTCGGTCCTTCCCTACAATACACTTCCTCCCCATCCTTCACACACACATATAAACCTCCTTCATGGCTTATGAAGAAGCAGCAGAGGACACGCAAAGCAAATGGGGCTATTTCTTGATACGGTTGCTTGCCACTACTTGTATTCCAAAGATGCACAGTGTGTGTTGCACAAAATAAAAACATCTCCTTTCTGTTGCATAGTATCTTGGCATCAGATTGACATAATCTTTTCATAGAACCTATTTAAGTCAATCATGAAGACTCAGCTGTTTTTTATTTAGCAGAGAGGAAGCAAGAAAAAAAAGGCTTGTTGGCAAGATCAATTATCATCAGGAGCATCCAAAGTGTATGTGAGTCTCTCGCATGGCCTGGCGGGGCAGGACGCCTGACGCCCACTGGGATTCTCATCTTTGGGAAAGCGTCAGTGATGTACCAGTTAGAGACACGATGGCACATCCCAACACACAGGAAGGCAAATCCAGGCAGGCCATTCCTGGCCTCTAAACAACACAGCTGATGGTGGAATGTGCCACATATCCATCCATTCCAGAAATAGGGACTGAGAGCTGATTTTGTACCCAGTACTACACTAGCCTTCTAAGGAGTCCAGGGGAAAGAATACAAGTGTCTGATCTGGAGCTCAGCAGGCCAATGGGGAGATGTAGGGAGTGCCATGGAGCGCGCAAGGTGTGGCATCTGGAAGGCACACCTGTACGTTCAATCTTGTTCTAGACGGTCCCTTGGGGGGGCAGAAGCACTGTCCTGCAAACACCTGGTGTGCCCGATAGCCTGTGCTGTAACCAACATCGGTTAAGCACCTGGATAGTGCCAGGTACCATCTTCAGTGTGTTATTCTAGCATTGGTGGAAGACATGAGAGTGAACTGCTACAATACTCTAGGGGCAGTGTGGAACAGGAACTTGATGCTGAGGGAGACTGAGGCTGCCAGCCGTCTGTGACCAGGAGACAGACACATGAGATAGAAGGGAAGTAAGCTAGCCCATGAGCCACTGTGGGCCTCGGACACTCGGACACAGGAGCTCCAGCCTGCCATGTTCATGGCTGCCTGGGAATAACTACATGGCTCAGCCTGTGCTGAAGGTTGCTGACCTTCTACTGACCCTGTTTCCACCTTATGATCAACCACATGACACCTTGAAGCATCTGACAGGAAATATTGCATGAACCAGAGTCTGCCAGGAAGGGGTTGTGACTCTTAGTGTGATATGGCACTCACACGGTTTCAGACTCATGGCTTTCATGCAACGGGGGTACTTGCGTATCACTCTCTAGTTATCAAATAAGGATCTGATCAGATCAGGGCATTCTGCTAGTTCTAGATCTAAGCACAAACCCATGACTGCATATCCTCATCTCCTCTCACGCAGTCTTATTGCTGACACTAATTTGTGCGAGTGAGAGCCAAACTACTTATCAAATGTCAGTCCAAGTTCCCCTGACCCAGGTGGCTTGTCCTCATCAATAAAGTTCTCTTCACTTTTGTGTCCTGCACAGTAATATAATTCTAGTATTTTTTCTGGAATAGCTTTATAAAGTTGTCACTTTCATTAAAATTGATTTGTGACTAAAGAAAGCTTCAGTCCTGTTCGCCTCCTCCAAGAAAACAGAGTCTCATGCTGGCCCTCGGTGGAGGAGAGATCATGGCCCTTCTGTTCCAAGACCCACAACTGGGCCACTGTCCTATTGCTGACGCCCCAAGCAGACGTGGAAGGAGGCCAGTCGTCAAGACGTCCTTTTTTCAGCAAATCCATATGCTTTGTTTAAAACACATGAGTTTTCAAACCCATAACTTTTCTTTCATAAAGCAAACACCCCTGCAGAGTAACACAGACTCAAATGCCTTGCAAAAGTTAACTATACGCTTGGACATAATGACATCTTAATAATTCATTTTCCTATTCTTAAAATTCTTTTTAGGAAAAAAAAATGTAGGCTTTCCAATAAAGTGCCGAAAATATTCACGTCAGTTATTAACAATTCTGTCGGTCTTTTCAAGATCAAAGGCATTGTTAAGTATATTCTGGGTCATCCACAAGGGAATATTCTAGAGCCACTTAAAGTGATCATGTTAACGAAGAGCTACGAAAGGCTGATGACACACATGAGACTAGTAGGATATAGCTATACACAAAACCTGGATGCACAAAAAATTAGTATAAGTTGTATAAATACAAGGCCATGTTTCTTATACTTTTGAGACAACTCCAAAATCTCAACAATGTCATTATTTTAAAGTGAAAAATAGATCATTAGTGTTTCCAAGGAGATTCCAACCTTGTTTGGGAGACAAAGATATGCAGAGAACTACATAGTAAAGCTATGACCACAGGGAGATCTCATGATCCTCTGGGCAGTGTCCTGGAGTTCGGAAAGGACTCGCAGGTTCCAGGGCAGCGGCCAGAGTGGAGCCAGCAGCCTGCTCCACCCAAAAGATGAACCACAGGACTGGTCCAGGCTCCCTCGGTGTCTGCACTTCATCTCTCCACCTCTTGGGCTGGGAAACCACTGAAGTCCGGTTGTCTAGTTTCCCATGTGTGGGGAAATGCACAGGAAAGGGACTGCCCTGGGCTGGACCTAGAAAGACAGATGGCCTCAACAGAGGAAAGGAACAGGGAGCCACGCTGCCATGGTCCTGAAGCTTGAGCCATCCCCCCCATTCTTCTTTATCTGGAAAAGGGTGTGCCCTGGAGGTTTCTGATCATGGAAGTGACAAGCAGCCTGCTGTTATCACTGCTGAAAGAAATGGATGTCAGAGAATCAATGAGACTGCACCTTTGGTCATCAAGGCATTTGATAAGTGCCAGCAGTGAGGAGGTGTGGCAGAAGCAGCGTGATGGCTAAGACACAATCACCATCACACTCCTTAAGTCTGATCGTCACACATACACACATACCTACAGCCATCTCCAGGTCCATCTCTAACACACTGGGTCCCACAACACCCACAGGACTTACGAGAGACACAGTGGGTCAGAGGCTGGGCAGACACCTAGTTCAAGGTGCCTAAGCCCACATTTAGGGCACTGGGGGAACATGAGTGCGTGTGTGTGTGTGTGTGTGTGTGTGTGTGTGTGTGTGTGTATGTGCATGGCAACTGTGGGCAGCATGAAGGAGACACTCAGCCAACAACTATGGTCAAGTACTTACCAGGCTCTCAGCTCAGAGCTGGAAACACAAGGCAGAGCCAACGGGGAGGAAGGACAAGGAGAGAGGCAGCCTTTAAACAGTTTTTAAAATGCAAAGACAGGAGCCACAGAAGAAACACAAAAGGAAAAAAAAACTACATAGTCTCCCTTGGAAATGTGGAGCAGGGTGGCCTGAGCCTAGACAATGCAGCTGGCCTGCACGAGGCAGGATGAAACAATCTCAGTCACTGGACTAGTCATGGGATCAGGGAGGCCAGGTAGGGAAGACACAGGGAAGGAAAACGCTGTGCATCTATGAGCTGGCCCTTGCACAGTCACACTCCAATTCAGCCCCCAGCTCCATGCTCTCCCTGCCCCTACCTCTCTGCCACGTGATGGTGGAGGGGTCGATGTTGAGGCGGGCAAATTTCCCCACTTCCTCTTCCGTCAGTGCACTAGGATCAGTCTTATTGATTCCCAGTTTCTGATGATGATGAAGGAAAAAAAAACAAGTATAAGTTTAAGAAGAAATGGCAGTAGGCAAAAGTAACCAAAATAATCCCTTTCAACTGACCTCTTCTCTGATTAGAAAGAGCCTTTTAAAAATGGATGTGAGGTGTACATTGCACTGTAGGGTATGTTATCCCCATCAATGCCTTACTCCAACTACCCACTACAATGGGGAGATGCTGCAAATCTGCAATATGCCTTTCAAGTCACAGATGAGTAACTGGCATGGCTGATGACAGTCACTGAGCGATGGCGCCCGGGGCGTGTGGCCTGGGCAGCAAGTGGAGCTGGCCTGTGTGGCAGCTGGGCACTGCACTCAGAAGGGCCAGCACACTGCTGGCCATTAGCCAAGGCTCTGGTTTGTTAGTTCTTCTTTTCAAATATGAACACCAATAACTCACGTAAGACTCCTGCCTATGCTTCCAAACCAGTTATTCCTGATTTTTCTGAGAAAAATTTTTAAGAAGTTACTTTAAATACATCTTATTTTCATGAGAAATCACCCTAATAAACTTATTTTTATCTTTAAATCTGTTTTTAGTCTTGACGTTTCATTTATTTGAAAGCCAGCAAGACACACCACGGTGCACAGATATCTCCCACCCACTGGCTCACATCCCACATGCCATGACAGCTGGGGCTGTGTCAGGCAGAAGTGGGAGTTGGGAATTCCATCCAGGATTGCCACGTGGTGGGATGGGGACTCAAGTATCTGAGCCCCTGTGCCGCCCCTCAGGGTGCATATCCACAGGAGGCTAACAGGAAGTGGGGACAGCAGCTCCCATGTGGCACGGGGGTATCCCAGGCAATGGCTTCACCACCACATCAAACACCTGCCCCAGAAAGAAAAAAATATCAAAAAAGAATTTAGGAAGCAGCAACTGTACACATACAGCTAGCAAGAACCACTGGTGATTCTCAACAAGCTGAACATGGTAGAATGGATAACTGGGGCGTGAACTGTTAGAATCATTTTATGATTTGTAAATGACACTTTTAAACATTTTCTTTTTAAAAATCTGAACCAGGGCAATGCAACTGATAAGTAGGACCCAGCAGCAAATAGCATTAAAACAATGACAACATAAAAAAGAATGCTGTATTCTTTTGTATGGGGCTAGAGTGGTGACATAGATCGGTTGTTGCCTGTGACACTGGCATCCCATATGAGTGCCAGTTCTAGTTCTGGCTGCTCCACTTCCGACCAAGCCTCTTGCTAATGCGAGCAGGAAGGCAGCAGAAGATGGCCAAGGCAGCTGGACCGCTGCCACCCACACAGGCTCCTGGCTTAGGCCTGGCCCAGCCCCAGCTGTGGCAGTCATTAGGAGAAAGGTCCAGCACATGGAAGTTCTTCTGCTCTCTGTAATTCTGCCTAGCCAGCAGATGCAGAAGTCCTAAAAATACAATGAAGATGACTTTTACCACAACAAGGGTCATGTCTTTCTGCAACAAAGGCTGAGATACAGCAATCTTTGCAGGCCACCTTCTCATTTGCTAGGATTTCACTGATGCCCTGAGATACCTTTAGAAACAGAACTGAAAAGAATTCTCATTTTTGAGCGGATGAGCCTGCTCCTGATGAGCAAAGCAGCCTCCTCAATCCACAGGCGAAGCAGCAGAGTCCCCAAGCAGGCCCACTGATGGGGTGCAGGGCCCAGGCTGCAGCCTCCGCGCTCCGCTCTGCCCGACACCTTATTCTGTCACTTGGGAGTTACACAACCAAAAGAAAGGATCTAAAAACCCAAATCAAAGCAAGTTCAGACTGTATGACTTTAACCATGTTCCTGATGTGCTTCTAAAATGCCTCCTTTCCAAAGAGCCCTGAACAGAAACTTACTTTTAGCCGAGCCAGTTGAATTTCTGAAAATTCACGGACACCGTTCACTACAGGGACCAGCCGATTATACAGAGCCTAAAAACAAACAAAAACAAACAAAAAAGCAAAAACAATTATGAAACTCCATGAAAGTTTAAGATCCAATCATGACCTTGGAGAATTCACACAATATGACAAGATCCATTATCTTTATAACTTAACCCATTTATTGAAATTACAGATTCTACTAAGATTTTGGGGCCAATATACACAATACGGACTTAAATCCTGTCACTTTAATAAGAATTACTAAGATCTGAAATAGTGCACACTGCAGAGTTTGTATAATCTATCTCTTGACCTTATAGTAATAACATTAGTAGGACTTATCTGGATTTTTATTTCAAAGCCTAAAGAGTTACTATTTTTTTTAATAAAGTCAGTGTCCTTGCTGCCAATCATGCCAAAAGTACCCTTTCCCCACACCCAACATCGGAAGGGAGTTAGCACCTGCTACTCTTTCCCTTTGGGTGTGACTGACGTCTCGGTGCCTGTGTAAAGCCACGTGCATCTCTCAAACTCTCTCGGACAGCTGCAGGATACGCCCATCTTAACCAACATCTGTCTGTCCAGCTCCCCTCAGCACAATAAACAGAAATGATCCACCAAGTGTTCTTAAACTAATGACACGGCTCAAAGAATATTTTACGTGGCAGTGCTTGGTCATAAGCCCATATGAGAAGCTGACCAAAGTGTGGCATCCTCTCTCCAAGCAAACAAAAGACTTTCCACGAAATGCAAAATATTCTGAATCACATTTCAGAGAGTAGACAACTCCAGAAGTCTTTCTACAAACTCATGAAGGACCCAGGAACTGCTGGATTCAGACGCCCATGACGATAAGCAAGGGATCCTCTCACCTTGTCTGTCTGAGTGCTTTCGTGCAAAATCCTTGTGTCAATAGCGGCGGCCAGCAAGTTATTGGCGGCAGTGATGGCATGGATGTCCCCAGTCAAGTGAAGGTTGAACTGCAAATGAAGTAAAACACCCATTTGTTTCAGATCAGCATGGCAGTATGCAAGGCCTGTCGGGGTATATAAAGTCATACGCTAACTGAGTCTCCTAATGTTCAAGTTTCTGACTCAAAGTTGAGGGGAAGGTTGGCCCCTTGCCAGCACAGTTCATGTGAGCCACTGATCTCAATGGTGTCTTTTTCCACTCTCAGGTTAGGGGTGAAACACTTAGGTAGACTCAATGACCGAGTTCCTTATTTTGATCCATTTTACCTGTACGCAATGTTTTACAATTATGAAAACTGTGCATCTGCTGGAATGTGGTGGGCCAGACAACAAACATTTTAAGAAAACTACAGGAAGCTTAAGAAACAAAGCACCTCACCATTACAACTCTATCGATTCTGCTGCTTTCGCTCCAGTGTCATGTACATAGGTGATAAGTACTGGCAGAACCAGCATATTTGTAACTGGAAAGCCTCTTTATCCAAACACTCCAGGCTGGCAGTGAGGACAGTGCTTAGATTATTCAACTCCATGTCAGAGCGTCTGGGCCGAGGCCTGGGGCCTCTGCTTCCTATCCCAGCATCTGAAGCAGCACGGAATGACCTGAATCGCTGCCAGCCCTGGGGGACACCCAGACTGGGCCTTGGGCTCCTGGGAAGTGAACTGACCTTTGTGTAAAGTCAAGTTAACGAGGGTTACAAAACCAAATAGGCATATCCAAATGCTTGGTCTCCTATGTCTGGATATTTCAGTTGCTCTTCAATTTTTACTTTTGTAGACAATTACACAGTACATGCAAACAGCACTTCGCTTTTGAAGGAGTTAGCTGAGAGTAAACAACACAGCCTCAAGAATGGGTTGACCGGGACCGAACGTGTGACCGAACTGCTCTCAGAAGAGGATGAAGTGTTAACCGCTGAGCACTACTAAATCCATCAAGATCGCCTTCAGACTAAGACAGTAACAGTTTAAAGAAGTTGTATTTTTTTAAATATTTATTTATCTTTACTGGGAAGTCAGACATAGAGAGAAGAAGAGACAGAGCTAGTTCACTCCCCCAGTAGCCACAACAGCCAAAGCTGAGCCAATCCGAAGCCAGGAGTCAGGAGCCCCCTCCAGGTCTCCAACGTGGGTGCAGGGTCCCAAGGCTTTGGGCTGTTCTCAATTGCTTTCCCAGGCCACAGGCAGGGAGTTGCATGGGAAGCGGGGCCGCCAGGACTAGAAGCAGCGCCCATATGAGATCCCAGCATATACAAGGTTAGAACTTTAGCCACTAGGCTACTGCACTGGGCCCAAGAAATTGTATCTTAAGATGCATATCTTTGTTTTCTTGGAACATTGAACAATCACATTGCAGGCCAGGAGTCTGTAAGGAGCCTGTTATGGTGGCCAGAGACATGGAGGTGAGAATCTCCATTGCAGATAATGGAGCAGAGCCCACACAGGCCTCCCATGCGGTATGGGAAGGCTGCAGGAGGTGGGAAGGCAACCCCTCAGATCTGGGCTCAGGAAGGATGCTCAGGACCTGACCTACGAGACTGAGAGGAGAGCCAGATGAGAAGGGACCACTGGACAAACATGGGGGGTGAATGAGAGGCAAGGCAGGAAAGAGGAGAAGAGAAACCATGTGCTTTGTGCACCCATTTCTCTCTGCGTTTAATTCTGGAGTCTTGGAAGCATCCGTGTCTTCCTGAATTTGGCAGCAGAGCAGGGGATACAACCCACCTCTTATCCAGAATGCTCCAGGCCAGATAGGATTTTGGGATTCAAAATATTTTATAATTTAGAAAAAGAGCAACATATATATAGTTCGCTAATCATCTCAGGCAGCTGAGTTAAGCAACCATCATATTTCTACAACAAATCAGGAATGTTCACATCAAGTGGCATAAAAAAACCCACAGGTAGCGCCTAAGAGTCAAGGTCAGGTTCTGCCAATGGACTTGTGCAAGCACTGTTGATTAGCAGACCGTTTCAGCTAAGGGGTGTGCACTTTGTGGGCACAGAGACAGAGCTGCTAGGAGGAGACGTGCCTCTCTCGGGACCTCACCTCCTCCATGGGGACAACCTCACCTCCTCCATGGGGACGACCTTACCTCCTCCATGGGGATGACCTGGGCATATCCGCCACCGGCAGCTCCTCCTGAAAGACAGAGTAACTGGCATGTAAATGAGTCACAAAGTGCAGCTACACAGATGGTTGGAGCTCAAGGCACACAGTTCCCCAACCCAACAGGTGACATTCAAGATGAGAGAACAAGCTCTGCCTAAGCAGAGGGACAAAAGTCTGCACAGCACACAACTGCACAATGCTAAGAACTCTATCTTGTCATTTAAATAACAATGATGGGACTAGGGTGGCGTAGCCACAGCCTACCAATGCCAGCATCCCATATGAGCAGTGGTTCAAGTCTCAGCTAATCCACTTCTGACCTAACTCCTTGCTTCTTCACCTGAGAAAGCAGTGGAGGGAAGCAGGCTCAAGGGCCCCTGTCATGCAGGCGGGATACCCAGATGGCTCTCGGCTTTGGCACCAGCCTTGGTAGCTAGGGCCATTCGGGAAGCGAATCAGTACAAGAAATCTGTTTGTGTGTGCTTGCTCTCACTCAGTCTTCCCCTCCCTTGGTAATTCTGTATTTCAAATAAATACATAAATCTTTGAAACTCAAAGGTAAAAATAATACAGCAAATGCCATTACTGTTAGACATCTATCATGATAGCACAATATTTATTTATCAGCTTTATGTGATTATGCTTCATCTAAATCAAACATGCACTAAGATATCAAGCAGCTTTATAAACAATGGCCTACAAATGGTAAACTTCAGTTAATTTATTTTAGATAATACTAGGTGCGATCTGTCATGTTGCTTATTCATCAAAACATTAAAATTATATTGCAAAGACTCGTCGGTCCTACAATAACACTGCCCAAGTGCAATCATTAAACAACCCCCTACCCTCTGCTGTCCCATTTGAACCCCGCGCCCACCTGGGGAGCCTGGTACTATGAGCTATTTGCACTTCCACAGATGTGACTCAGGAGCTTACAACTGGCTCCAAGTCACACAGCAATAGGAGACTAGAGCTGAGATGAAAACCTCGGCCTCCTTGCTCAGTCCAGCGTTTGTTCCACTGTACTACCTAATGTAAGATGCTCTGTGTACCATCACTACTGAACAAGTTAGTTGCTACTAAAATGTGTTACAAGAATGTAAATATTACACTGTATAAACCCACCAGGTGCCCAGAACACACAGTGGCTGTGTTAATAAATGCTACTGTCAAGTGAACTAACAAACAATTTCCCAACACGTCAGTGAAGAAAGTCATGGGCGTGAAGGTGTCATGCACATCAGCGTCTGTGGCGCACAGCCAGCGTGGCTGTCAGCAGCTCGGGCCCCACATGGCACCTCTGGTACCTCCGAGAGCTGAGACCGGGATGCCTCGGGGCTCTCCAACTGCTGAGAGGGAAAGACTCTCTGGCTGTGGATAAATCATGAGTGAGGATGGCACCAACAGGACACCAAGGAGACAGATGGCTGAGCTGCTGAACCACGAACTGCAATTCCCTCCGCATATCCTCCTACTCCGGAGGCCGAACCTGTGTGCCCTGCGTGTGCCATGTCCCCATGCCTCTGAGGAGTCTTACCTCTGCGTCCATGATGGGACCTTTCTCCTCATTTCTGATGGAACCTTCAGAACTGTGTTCTGAAAAAGACAGCGGTGGTTAAGCCGGCATACCTTTCACTCCAAAAGTTGGCCCCTGGGACGGCTGCCTCAGACAGGCGAAAGAATTGACGTTCAAGTGCGCGGTAAGCGCCTGCACGAGCCCGATCGTCACTGTGCTCTTCCCTTCTCCAAGGGGCGTTGGCGTGATCCTGGAAAAGGTGGATTGAATGAACTTTCCCATAGGAAACCAACCTCAGGTCCAGAAGCCAAAGCGAGGCATGCGGCTACAAACGTCATGCCTAAAGCCACTCCAAAGTTCTCGCTTTCTCCGCCTTTACTGTCTGCCCACAACACACACATCCCACATAAGCAAGTCAAGACACAAGATACAACTTTACCAAGAGACCAAAAAATTGGGCAGTGCTGCTAACAGTATTATCTTTCTTTCTTTTCTTCTTTTTTCTTTTTTTAAAGATTTATTTACTTATTTGAAAGGCAGAGATGGGGTGAGAAAGATCTTCCATCAGCAGTCTCATTTTCTAAATAGCCAGAAGCTAGGAACTCCAGCTTGGTCTCCCACATGGGTGCAGGAGCCCAAGCATCGGGGTCATCCTCCGCTGCTTTTCCAAAATGCATCAGCAGGGAGCTGAATTGGAAGTGAACACCTGCGACTCAAACATGTGCTCATGATGTTGCTTCATTTGCTGCATGACCATGCTCGCCCTCTCAGGTTGTTTTATATATTTTTTTCAAAAGATTTATTTTCTTTTTATTTGAAAGAGTTACAGGGAGGAGAAGCAGAGTTCTTCCATCTACTGGTTCACTCCCCCAGATGGGTACAATGTTTGGAGCTGGGCTGATCTGAAACCAGGAGCTGGGAGCTTCTCCCAGGTCTGCCATGTGGGTGCTGGTGTCCAAGGCCCTGAGCAATCTGCTGTTCCTTTCCCAGGCCACAAACAGGGAACTGGACCGGAAGCAGAGCGGCCAAAACACAAACTGGCACCCATATGGGCTTAGCCTACTGCCCCACAGTGCTGGTCCTGACAGCTTGGTTTTAAATGGGAGACATCTGCACTCTGGCCGCCCCTGGTTCTCAGGATCCTACACGCTCAGCCTAAATCCTTTTCTGTGCAGATCTTCAGATATTTGGAAAGATAAAGTCCTAAGTCCAATTCCGGCCTTCTTTGAAGTAACTGGTATGTACCAGATCTTCTAGGAAACTCAACTAGCTGATAGAGTTGTCTCACCAACAGAATCGAGCCACGTGACCGCAAAGATGGAATGTGTGGAAACAAACTGCCATCCCCAGCTTGCTCAGAGCCACTCCTGCAATCTCAGTCCACCATTCACTCAGCAAATATTTACTAAACACTACACGGGGCCAGAACCCATGGAAGCCAGGGACACAGCAATGACCCAGTCAGCCATCCACGCTCTCCCAAGCACCCAGCTGGTAGATTTGGATAAATCACTGATTAACATGAGGGAGAGGTCGACACTGAGACAGGGCAATACAGCAAATGGACTATCTATTGCATTAGGTGAGCATACAGATGGACAGGTGTTCCCTGGCACACAACATACAAGCCAACACCTGATAAAACAGATGCTAGCCAGATAACATCGAGGGTGGCTCAGGGTGAGTTAGCAGCCAAGGCATTCTGCCTCCTACTGAGAGAGTTCACTATTTGTAGTCCCATTTGAAAGATGGGGAAACTGAGGTACACAGTGTTTGGGTAGCTTGTTCAATGTCACAGTACAATTAGGCAGTACAGGTGAGAAATCAAACCCAGCCAGGCAGGTGGTGTGACTTCAACGAGCTTATTATTTCTGCGGATGCAAAGTGAACTATCACAAGCAACTTGAGGCACAGGGCCATGGACAGGGTGAGAAAAGGGCTAGAGACACAATGGTTAAGTATAGCCCTTTAAAGGAGTAGTCAGAAGAAGAGACTCATGCGGAAATAAGAGGGGGAAGCGAAGCCAAAAGGAGAAGAAGCCACTAGAGGAAACTCATTAACAGAGGTCTCAGAAAAGGCCCAGTAGACGAGTGGTTCCAGGTGAAGGGAACCAAATGTCACTGGGGGTTGCAAGCAGGGTGTAGACCAAGAAGTGGTCCACAGATTCAGGAACATGGAGGTAGCTGGCATCTCCTAGAGTAGGGATTTAGCTACTCCAACCAGCACTCAGTGAAATAAACATGAAGCTCCCCCAAGCTGCCTTATCAATGGCTTCTGCATCTGTCACAATAGCAATTCACAGACTGGGGTCCACAGGGAAGACTCCAGGTTACACAAAGGTGTTCACACTGTGAGCCAGCTTTCTCCCGCCTCAGCTGCAGCACGAGCCACAGCAGCTCACAGCTGACAGGCCTCATGATCATGCCCCAGCCTGCAAGGCAGCAGGGGTATCTAACAGCATAGGGCAGGCGCCGACCAGAGCACTCCCGGCTTGCGAAGGAGGAAGCGGCTGACTCCACTGGTGTCACATGAAGGATTACAGTCTCATATCCCAAGGCTGTGCTACAGAGCTGCTGGAGACGGCCCAAAGCCGACACGCCCAGCGATGACCTCCTCAAACTTCAACTACCCATCCAATTCTTAATGAGAAACACAGGGCCGTTCCACCATCTGCCAACGAATACAATTCAGGGAAATCAAAAAGTAGGAAGTATTTACTGGGAGCAATAAAAGGAGAGCTACGATAAAACATTTATTTTACCCCATTCCTGCAATTGAGAGCAAAATCTGGTTTAATTTTCTCCCCAGGATCCTCAGCTCTGATTCCAAATCATCAAGTTGATTTAGAAAAGAATGAGTACCAAGTTAATCTAATTTCTTTCTCAGAGTTCAGAGAGATGGGACTGTGATTTTTTTTTTTTTAAAAGTATCAACTTCCCCCACTTTTCTAAGCCAACTTACGCACTCCTGCCCTACGCCCCCACATTTATCAGACACTACTCAAGGACTGCGGTCGGCATCATGTTTTGGGATGTATCTGGCCTACGGGGACACAAGCTCACAAAGGGGAGGGACAAGTTTTCGATTACCTGTTCATGGCACGGATGAGCAAAAACAGGTTCAATATCAGATATATTGAGGATGGACCACAGCAAACACTTGCACTCTGTGACAATCTGGGCACAATCTGAAAGATGCTCACTATTTACTCAAAGGCTAAAGAGCCTGGTTACACAGAGTTTTACTTAAGACAACCGTTCGCAAAATCCAGAGTCTTGTTTGAGAGGATCACTGCTGTTAGCCATAAGCCTACCCAGGAACTCCGAAATGCAATGTGGAAACAGCACAGGAATGTGGATCATGTGTCCTGGGCCTCTTAATGTTTGGAAGGTCTTTATAGCCCTTCATTATCAAGTGACAAATCCCCTCTGCTCTGTTCGGTTGTGTTTTGCATCACCCTTGTTCAGGGTACACATGGAGCCTCCTTTGACATTCGCTCGTCTATTTAGCAAATGGCACAAACAAAACTCGCACTTAAGCAGTAAAGACCGAATACAAGAAAGCCCAGTAGAAGTTATTTTGACACTGTGCCAGGATAACGGGTTGAAAAGTTAAAAAAAAAAAAATCAGAGATTTGGAAATCTGCAGGAACAAAAAGATGAAGTGACATGAATGATTTTGATTTTTCTTTAATGTGAAATTCAGTCTCTTTAGAAACCAGCTTGGGCTCCCTTCTCACTTGCTCTGTCCAAGCAATTCAGAGAAATTCTAGAAACTTCTGCATGGAAATGGGGAAAGGCCCAACAGAGACCAAGTGCATGTTCAAATGCCCCGCAGCTGCACTCTGAATCAAGTTCTCAAACAAAATTCCTTTTCATTAGTGTAACTGGGAAAATATGTAAAACTCAAGAGGCCCTAGAATCTTTTGGCATATCTCCCTGAGCAATTCCCAATCCTTCTCATTCTGTCAGGCAAAGCAAATGCAGTGATGTGTAGGTGTAAATACCATGCGATGTGTAGCTGATGAAGTGCAGATGAGTCCGACCGAGTGAGAAATCCTCAAGTTTGGAAGATTGGTTTTTGGAAAAGAATCCGCTCTGCATTTGGGTTATTAATAATGGGTTTTTTCCCCTTAACTCCCATTGGTCTATGTTTTAATCTTCCTGCTGGTACATTTCAATCCCATTTAAAGATAAATTCAAAGGTACAATAGCAAATGCATTGTTACTTAGGCTTATTGAAAAACCACTTGGGTGTCTGAAACCTGCTGAAGCTTGGGAAGGGACTGATGGAACGTCATTCAGAGAAGAGACACAAAATGGTATTCACAACATGACCCCCAAGAGTAAGAAAGGGTGGGAACATCAAGTTCTGGAGGGAAATAATAAACATTCCTAACACTTCTGAGTAACAAGGAATTTATTTTCTTTCTTTTTACTCTTCTTCATATGAAGTGTCTGTACAATAAGCCAATATTATTTTCAGATAAAGACTTTCAGAAAAAGGTACTTATTCTCCAGTAAGTGGAGGAGTCATTTATATTTTTAAAAAGTTTTAGATAGCACTTTCCTCCAGCTTCTGACCTGAGCAAAAGTAAAATTCCAGAGGGAATTTTTATTTCAAAGGCATGAGTCATTTTAGATTACAATTGAAGTGTCTGTATTTTAAACTGACCTCAATCATCCGGCAATTAAAGGCTAATTAACATGTTAAAACACATGATTTGTTTGGGGCCTTGCCATTTATTTTCACACTGTGTGGTGTTGTTACTCCTATTCACTGTCATGTTAGATATGTATATAAGGCTAGACTTCAAAAAGTTCATGCAAAATACACATTATAAAAAAAAACTCGGCATAGATTTAAAATTTTTCTGTACCAGAATAAACTTATCCTTTCCAAACTTTTATCTGTAAAATGTATTTGAGGGCCAGCATTGTGGCATAGCCGGTGAAGCCTCTAACAGTGATGGGAACCCTCCACCTGGGTGCCAGTTTGAATTCTGGCTGCTTTACTCCCACTCCAGCTCCTTGCTAATGTGCCCAGGAAGGCAGTAAATGCTGGCCCAAGTACTTGGGTCCCTGCACCCAAGTGGGACAGCTGAATGGCATCCCAGAGTCCTGGCTGTGGGTTGGCCCAGCCCCAGCTGGTGTGGCGATTTGGGGAGTAAATCAACAGACAGAATATCTCTCTCTCCAACTCTGCCTTTCCAGCAAATAAAATGAATAACTAAAACAAACAAAAACAAAAAACCCATTGGAAAGGAAAGGGAGGGAGGCTAGGAGAGAAAGAGTCTGGTTCACTCCCCAAACTGCAGCAACAGCCAGGTCCACACCAGACTGAAGCCAGGTTCCGGATCTCCCTTCTGGGCGGCAGGGATCCAAACAGTGGAGCCATTAGCTGCTGCTTCTCAGGTGCCTGTTAGCAGGAAGCTGGAGTGCAGAACAGAGCCAAGGTTAGAACTCCAGCACGGGATGACTATCTACACAGTAGCTTAACCACTCCACCAGATACCTCCTTCTACAGGGATTCTTTACATCCACTTTTTTATGCAAACTTCCTCAAGTCCCCTGGTAGACCTCAAAGTCCTACTCTCCCAGGTTTTTTTTCTTTCCCCAATATGATTAGATAGAAAGCCATTCATCTTTTGTTCCATCAGCAGGCTCTATTAATGAAGGGAATTTATAACACAGATTCAGGAAAAGAACAGCTGATCTTTTGGTATTAAGTTTGTACTTGAGAATTTATGTTTTGTTTTCACTTACCATGTGGCTTCACTCAGCGATACTTAACTAATACTAGTAAAAATAGTGGGCTGTTCTTCAAGGAGTGGGTTGACACTCTTTGTACCCCAGTTTGCATTATTACCTAGCACCCTCTAGCAGGACGGACGGCTTGACTCCAAGTCAGGAACTTGATCACAATACCATCATAGCTTGGTTTCACAAATTCCACTCGGCATTCCCAGTTCGTGGCAGGGTTCTGTTGAGATCCGTGTTTTTCTTTCTAGTATTGACAAGTCCCAAATGGAGCAAATTGCAGCCAGAAAGTCCATAAGGAAAACTGCTGCATGGGCCTTCCTTTAACACTGAGATCACACCCTCTAGAATTTACCTTAAATCTTTCTATCTTAAGTCAGGTGGGATAACCACCAACAGCCGCGAGAGAGCGAGGCAAATCGGTGAAGAAGGTGCTTTGAAAGATCTTTAATGTTTAACAGTTTACTTATTCACTGCAAACAAATGTGCCCCAAGCACACTTCTATCAATGCCATCCTCAGCTGGGTGCTCCAAAGCCAGAACTCTAGGAGCAGGTATAACCGTATTCTTCGCAGTCAAGTTCCTGGCTTCTTTCACAAATGGGTGGCAGTAAGTCACCTATGGTTGCATGAGGACTGCACTTGTTATAGCTTGAATATACTTGTGCCCTTCCAAAGCTGATGCTAAAATTTGATTACCAAAGGGGTCACTGCCATGATGCAGAGATTAAGCCACCACCTGCAGTGTCAGCACCTCATATGGGTATCAGTTCATTTCTGATTCAGCTCCCTGCTAATGTGCCTGGAAAATCAGTGAAAGATGGCCCTCAAACCATGTAGGAAACCAGGAAGAAATTGTTGGCTCCAGACCAGCCCAGCTCCAGCCCGTTATGGCCATTTGGGGAGTGAAGCAGTGGAAGGAAGATCTCTCTCTCTCTCAATCTTCCTCTCACTTTGTCTCTATAAAACTGCATTTAGAAGAAATCTTTAACGTTTTTGTTTGGATTGCCGTGGTGGTGATGCTAGCAAACGGAGCCTCTAAGAGGTGAGTGGCTCGTTAGGAGGACCTATCCTGTGGTACTGAGCTGATGCTCTAGAGACTGGGTTAGCTTCAGGGCTGTGACAAAGGCTGCCTGTCCCTTGCATTTTGTCTCTTCTATGGGTACCCCCTGGCCTTCTGCCCTGCTGTCATGCCAGGAAGTGGCATGAGGCTCTGTCGGAGTCAGCCGCAGTCTCTTGGCCTGCCACGCCTCCAGAAACACAAGGCAAAATAAACCTCCTTTCTTTATAAATCACCCAGTCTCAGGTGTTCTGTTCCAAGGACAGAACCTGGATTAGGACAGGGTCCTCAGCCAGAAAGCAGCGTGGAGGTTCAACTGCAGGGCACCAGAATGCCCAAAGAGGAGCTTAAAGCCACATGCAAATGACAAACTACAGCTGAAAATGTCAGCTCGCCAAAAGCTCTGAAAGGCTCTGTGTCCCCTGTCAGGAGGACAGAACAGAGCAAAAGGGGGAGGAGAGGAACAGCAGGAGGAGGTATCATGGAGAAATGGGGGTACTATTAAGAAGAGATATTACTGGATGAGACCTTGCTTTATTTGGTTTTGTTTTGTTTTTTTATGGGTTAGTAAAAAAAAAAAAAACCCTTAAGGATCTAAGGATTCACTGAACAATAAGGTTGTTGATTCTAACACCCATATAATCACCAGACTTTACGTTTTAAATGTCCATCAGTAGAGAGCTACTTAAGTAAGTTACAGAATAGCCCTATCATATTTTCAGATCATTCCTAGGCCTCTACACCCTTGAGTTAGAAGCTTGCTACACTACTTCTGCTCAACCACCAAGGCTGAGCCATCGCAACCCTTCTCAGTGGAGTTGGGGTGCTGGAAAGATGGGCAACGAAGGATTCTACCTTCTTTTCGGGGCCACTGCTTACCCACTCCCGACCACATTTAAGAATCTCAGGAGTGAACTACGTCATAGCATAGAATTGTGAAAATAGCAACTGCTCTATCTGTATTTACACTAGGTATAAAACATTGTGCCATTGTTGTTTATACATTTCTTTCTTAACTTGCAATACGGTCCACCCGTACACTGTTGAACACTGAAGTGACTCACAGAGCAGCACACCTAGCGTGATTCACGACAGACTATCCGTGTGAGGACCATCCTCAGCTGTGAGCAGGTGCTTCCGCTGGGGGAAGTAAAATTTAGAGATGTTTTACTTTCTTGTTTCTACTTTTTATTACTTTTGTTAACTTATCTAACAGGGAGACTACATTATTTTTATAACGAGAAAAAGACACAAATAAAAAAGCACTTAAGACAATAACTGAATATGTTAAACCAAGGTAAACTGCAAGTCCTGTTCAAAGAAGGTCTCCACTAAGCAGACACCTGAAGGCTGGGCCTCTCCATTGTAAACAACAGAAGACTTCAGCATGGAGTCTCCCGATGCTCCTCAGGTCCTGTGGGTAAATACTTGAAATTCTTTGCTTTCTCTCACTTTTTCAGCTAGTGTCTTCTTTTAATAAGGGGTGGGGAACAAGCAAAGGGAAAGATGCGATGAGATCATTTTTCAAAAAACTACAAATTCACTTTTCATTACAGAATAATCAACACAAATGAAATTGGCCCAACCTTGGTTTTGAAATATAAGAGAAACAATGAGTTTCTGGAATGTGCATATATCAAGGATATAATTCTAAAACAGTTATCTGGATAATCTAAGTATAACACACAATAAAAACCTCTGCCCAGTTCCAAATACTGTTACTTCTACAGGCAGGAGTAGGTCCAGCAGTTAAAATGCCTGTAGATGCTTTCATTCCATACTAGAGTACCTGGGTTTTGATACCCAGCCACGGTTCCTGACCTCAGCTTCCTCCCCACACAGACAAGTCAGAGGCAGTGGTGATGGCTCAAGTCACCAGGGTCCTGCAGCCCACATGGGGGACCTGGTTTGGGTTCCTGATTCCTACTGTTGGCCTTGTCCAGTCCTGCTCATTGTAAGCCTTGGAGGATTGAATACTCTTGCCCTCTCTAACTAGAGAAAGATCTTATAAAATTCTTCTTTCAATTCCTATTTTGATTTTTATCAAGAAAAGCTAAATACAAGAGCCTGAGGGGAGAGAGCTGATCACAACATGAGAGGCAGTTGATGAACAACTCCTTGAACTCAGAGCCTGGAGGCAAAGTCTCATTTTCCCTGCACTGTGCCAAGTGAAGGGGGCGATGCCTGGAGGTGCACAGCAGGGTGGAGGACCGAGCTAACTGGTCAGTGTTTCCCTGCGGATTCCACACAGACTCTTACCCAGCTACCAGGATGTATTTTCCATCTGCTTGATCCTTTAACCTTTCCAGCAGGGACAAGCGGACTTTGGCTTTGCCTTTGCCATAGATCTCGATTTCCTCTGGGAGCAATCCTATCTCCTTGGCAAGCACATCCATGGTTTTTGGAGTCTGTCCTCTTGAGATCTCGATATCGCTGTGGAGGAAAAGAAAACACACAAGAAGGCAAGCGGCTTGTCAGCTTAGGTGGTCGCTGCTCCAGGGAGATGTGAGTCTGTGTCCCCGCCAACAATGATGAACTCAACCCAACCGCCTGTGGTCCCTTCTCCCAGGCTGCATTGAGCACGACTGCTAACAATTAACGTGCATGAAAAAATGATGCATTTTTGTTTTTCTTTCAGAGAAGCTGCTCAAAAAAATCCTCCAAGACCCTGGAACTGTGTCCAGGCACAGAGTTAACACCTATGCCACAGGGAGAAGGGGACTGGCTACAATGGTGTGTTCAAACGTTCCTTGTGGCAACCTTGAATTAGGGGTATTGCACAAGGCCCTCTGCTTGGGCTGGCCCTGTGTGTCTCCTGGCTATCCAAAAATGTGGAAATACTATTTTCTTTTATCCCTGTCCATCCTTTGCCTCTCTCTTTCCTACTTCTTGTCCAAAATCGTATTTCAAAATATTTTATTAATTACGTAACTGCTAGCAGAAGGACCAAGTGCTCGCAGCTCAACTTCCGGGCAGGGGACAACTTAGGGACTCTGGAGTATGGCCAGCCTCATAACTGAAACTGTTTTCCGTAACTGGCCAGACGAGGACGCCACTGCTCGCCCACCAGGAGTGGCCTGAATGCCCCAGTCTCTGGGGACTCAAGTGCTCAGCCACTTTCATTTTTGTGGGGGCTCAGGCTGCACGTCGAACTGACTAGGTGCCTAGCAGTGAGAATAGAAGGGTATGTTTATTCTCCAGGCAGCAAGTCCAACTGAGCCACAGAGCTTGAGAGGGTAGATATGAACAAATTGCTCTCCCAGGACACATGGAGGAGGCCCATCTTTCCAGGGCTCACCCTGGAGCAAGGTCAGGTGCCACAGCATCTCGGATGTTGCCCTTTATCCCCTGGTCCTGATGAGTTACTCTCAGTCTTCATGCTACGCTACCTTCTCTGGGCGACTGCAGGGGTCTGAGACATCAAAAAAAAAAAAAAAAAAAACACTTTAACCAGACTTCTCTGTAAGGCACCAAAGAAGCCAGGAGAGGGCCAAGAGGCTCCAGGTCTGGGTGTGGGCTGAGCTTGGGGCCTCCCTCCAGCTGACCCCCTCTGCAAATGCCCCAACTGACTTCCTTCCTCCAGCTTGCTTGGGAACCTTTTTATCTGTTTCTCCTCCCTCACAGTCTCTTGCATCAAGTAGCCTCATCTTGCATAACCTCTCAGGTTTCCACTTCCCTAGCAACGAGTCACTGTGACATCATTTTGATTTCTGAGTGATTAATAAACAACTCATCTCACTCCTCCCTCAAAATGGCTCTAGAAATCAAATCTGGTTAAGCAACTGCTCTGTCCCCACAATTAGCATTGCTTTTGAAAGACTCATGTCCACAATCCAGTAAAATCTAGCTTAACTTTTTTCATTCTCAATCAGCAGAATATGTCAATTTACTTTAAAAAAAAGAAAACAAAACCTAGGGTCCTTCAATAACATACATAGCTTCAAAAATGAAGATGTTATATGAAACAGATCACACAACTCCAGGAATGTTACAAGGAAAAACACTCCCCACTGGAATGTATGTGCTAATGAACACGTGGTGACTAAGATGTTTAGTCTAAGACAAGGGTAAAAGCAACAGTTCTGCCAATCTGGAGGGTGAGTTCAACCCACAGGGTCAACAAGCTGCCCAGAAGGACAGAGGTCACCTTTAAAAAGCACTGGTTATCAAACAAAAATCCATCACTGGGGGGCTTATCTACTTTATCCACTGTGCATTCCAACATTGTTGGACACGACGACCTGGGGATGTCCCTGGATTGTACACACCTAGGAGAAGGTGGGGGACAAGACAACTGAGCGTGAGCCTGGAAAGTCCTTCTCGCTCAGGCATCTCAGTCAAGCACTGACGTCACATCCGACAGCCTGCATTTCCAAATATATACCAAGAGGATATTTGTCTTGGACCTCATGAAATTTGGAAGAAAATGTCTGCATGACAGTCACCAAGCGTCCTACTCTGCAGCTGCCAGGCAATAAGGTTCAGCTCCCATGTGGGATGATGCCCACTTTGCTTGGCCACTTACCCCCATAGTGGAAACTGACATGGCCCATGAGACCATGGGTTAGCCTAGTCCAATGCTGCCTTTCTGCAGCTGTGAAATCTAAAACCATTGCTTTAGGACCACTAAACAGAAGCACTGCCATTAAAACGGAGTGACAAATACACGTTTGTAGACTTGCTGGGACTATAGGAAACAAGTTCAGTGCGGCTTCCTTTCGGAGGATTTAGGAATAAAATCTGGCAAGTTGATGATGATCAGAGACAGCCATCTCCCACCAAAATGGAAATACCACCAGCCTTGGGCCCAGTCGAAAGGGGAAGACCCCGGGTCTGGACAGCACCGGGTGGACTGCCTTCAGCAGAAGCAAAGGCACAGTGTTACCTGGGGACGGGGGACAGGGGCTGCAGCTTCAAGCAGTGAAGTCTCCACCTCCTGTGCTGCTGCTCGCGGAGCCATCGCCTGCCACTGCTGACCATGTTCTTTGGGGACAGAGAAGCAAGTGCGCATTAGGAAAGCGAGGCTGACCCGGGTGGGCACAGTCATACAATCAAACAGTGTACGCGGGTGCCCGCGACAGCCCTGGTCATACAGAGAATCACAAGACCTCCACTCCATCCTAGCAATAATTTGTGCACTTGTAATTCGGCTCACAGAGTTCTCTTAAAGAGGAAAACGTGAGATATAAGTATTATTCAATTGGCTGAGTGTTCACCAGGGACTTCAAGTACACAGATCAAATTATAACCAAGTGCGCTCTTCATACCAACTAGAAAAGAAAAATGAGGAAAACATGACACTACATGAATAATCGGCTTGGTGCCACACCATGTCAAATATCACCCTTCCGTAACTGGTAGAAAGGTCAAGTAAACTGAATTAGGGAAGAGGGATAAATGGAAAAAATGGAATTAAAACAGAAGTTCATTTTGGTGCAGGCTTTTGAAATACATTCAGAGCTTTTTCACAAATCATTCTTCATACATTTTCTGGAGGGCCCTCAGATGTGCCTAACAATTGTTAAGTGCACTGAATTAAAATAAATACAAGTTTAATTTTAGTTGAGATGTCATTTATGATCCCTGCAAAATGGACAACATCCCTTCAAGAGGTGAGAAGCCTGAATTGTGTATCACTTTATATGAAACATATCATGTAAGAAAAAATAAAATGAACTAAAGTTAATTGTGGTGGTGGCAACTGGAGTTCAGTTTTCCTTGCTGCTCATGAATGCCAGAGCAAGGCACACATTTAGCTTCGTTTGTACTCTCTGCAGCGAGGAGCAAGGGGCGGGCAGCCCCGTGACAAGGGCCACTCGGTGAGGAGCACAGGCTCCCCTCAAAGGGCCCAAGAGGAATTAAACATCCCATGCCGGGGGCCAGGTGTGTGCATCCCCTGCAAGCAGCTCCAGCCACAGCCAAGCCGGCTGCCAACTGTAATCCTGATGACCCCTTGACGTCTCCTGCATAAAAGATCTCAAGCCAGAGCAGCACTACCCGCTCCCAAAACATTGAGCACCATAGGCCGGGAGAGCACAGCAGCTTGCTGTTTCAGGCTGCCACATTTGGTGCTAAGGGTTTACATAGCAACAGATAATTAATACCCAGATTCTGACTTGGGTCCTTATCCAATACATGTCATAAGATCACACACAAGTAACTGACTTTCTTTCCTCTAAGTCTCCATTTCCTTATTTATCAAATGGGACTAACACTAGGCACGTGAAGTGTTTAAATTTACATCTGGGTAAATTTAAAAATAAATAAATAAATTGAACCCTTGTACAATGTGAGCAACTATTAAAGCAAACCTTCAAACTCAAAATTGGTTGAACAGACCTGAATCCTCAGCGCTGCTGTGAGGAGGCTCACGTCATCTTGGGCGATGGATCCGCCGAGTTGTACCGCGGGAAAATCACAGCCCAGCTTCTCTGGACAACATGGGGTGTGGTGGGGGAATGGAGGGAAAGCAAGACTTTTAGCATATTGTCATGCATAACCAATAGCCTTCTGAAAAAAGCTAGAACCGGCATAGTGCTCTCATTGTTCTACCAAGGAAGTCAGGATGCCACACTCCGCCTTGGGTCTCTGAGTAGAAGCATCAGTCTTTCACATCTGAGCAGTGTTTATCATGCGAGCTGCCTGGGGTAAAGCGAGGTGTAATTCACTCAAGTACACTATGCTCTGGGAAACCCTTTCTCACCCTGAATTAGAGGGAAATGTCCAGACACACAGTCTCTCTAGGCAACCACAAGTACCAGTCCTTCACATACGATGTCCTTACAGAATGAAATGGCCTAGGTGCTGAAGACAAGTCCCAGGGGATGTCTGCAAGGTGTCACAGGAGGCAGCAGGGCCTGCAGCTCAGGCTGGGGGTTTCTGAGTCAGACCTGCATTATAATCATGGCTCCCTCTCTCAGGAATAGTGGTGACTCTGGGCCTGCTCGTTAACAGAGGTGGCAACAGTACAGGGCATCCTGTGGAAGTGAAGTGCAAGGTGGCATGTAGCAGACTCAGCCTCTCTAAACTGTCAGAGGGAAAGCACTGCCGGAGGAAGGTGGCTCCTCACGGCACCTGTCAGAATCACTCTGGACCCTAAAGTCTTTGATGCTTTTTTTTGTGAGGAGCATCTGCAATCTTTATTGGACAGGACACAGCAAACTAAACCAATCTCAGCTGTGAACACCAGGCTTAAAAAGGAGACTGTAAACACAGAGTGTAATATCCAGTCTAAGTGTTACATGCGAGATCAAGATGGTTTTGATAATTAAAAAAAAAAATTTCTGGAGGTGGCCATTAGGCACAGGGGTGAAGCCACCATTTGCGGTGCCTGCACACCATTTTAGAGGGGTGAAGCCACCATTTGCGGTGCCTGCACACCATTTTAGAGAGCTGCTTCGAGTCCTGCCTTCTCGGCTTCCAATCCTGTTCTCTGCTGACATGCCTAGGACACAGCAGAAGACGCTTCAAGTAACTGAGTCCCTGCCACCTGTGTGGGAAACTGGATGGGATTTCTGGATGTTGCTTTTCGCCAGAGAGATATCTCTCTCTCTCTCACCCCAACTCACTCTCTGTCCTTCAAATAAACAACGAAACAAATCTTACAAAGAAATCCCTATCATACAAGTTATACGCCCAACTTCCCATCAAAACTAAGAAATTCCATTTTAGGATATTGAGGAGCCTACAGTCTTCCAACTCCAAAGGCATGGATAGAAATTCTAATTTTTCTAAGCCTGGCATGGTAGCCCAGTGGCTAAAGTCCTTGTCTTGGAAGTGCTGGAATCCCATATGGGCGCCAGTTCTAATCCTGGCAGCCCCGCTTCCCATCCAGCTCCCTGCTTGTGGCCTGGGAAAGCAGTCGAGGATGGCCCAAAGCCTTGGGACCCTGTGACCACATGGGAGGCATGGAAGAGGTGCTTGGCTTCGGATTGGCGCAGCTCTGGCCGCAGAAGATCTTCCGTTCTGCATATCTTACTTTCCAATAAAAATAAGATAAAAATGAATCTTTAAAAAAACAAAACAGAATTCTACTTCTTACTCCTTCAGTTAGTATGCACATAATGTACAAGAGGCACACACACACTTGCAAAAACAATTTACAGAAGAGTGTTTCTAATAGCAACTTTTTGGAAATAAACCATCTTCTCCTTTTTGGACCATTTTTCTCTTGAATTATCGACTTTGCTGACAGTCTTTTGTGAGAAAGAGCACAAAGCACTTAAGAGAATGTGTTGTGTGATATTCTATTGTCAAATGTGTTAGGGTGTTGGAAAATCACATCCCCTAGGCATTGTTGAAAGATTAGCAACACTTCACTTTTATAAATTGTGTTGAGGCAAAAGCCAAGAGGCCAGAGGATAAAAGAGATCTGTTTTATTTTGTTTTAACCACTAGAGATCTGATCTTGTCCAACTTCTATGATAGAAAAATGCTTCTCTCATTCTATCTATCTTTAAGTGATGGAAAAATAAGACAAAGTTACATTCCAGGAGCTGTTGTCAATTTATAAATGCGAGTTTCCAGAGTATAATCACACAGTTATGAGAGTAAAAGATATTTCACCTTCACGTCACCTGGATAACTCAGGACATGACAAATATTAAGGATTTGCTATTTTGAAAACTGTATAATTATTAATACACCTAAATCCCATCTTACAAATAATTTCATCTAAAAATATATTATGCATTTATTTTACTTGAGGGGCAGAGACAGAGGGAGAGAGAAGGTGGGGGCAAAGGGGAAAGATGGAAAGGAGGAAAGTAGAGACAGGGAGAAATTTCCACAATGCTGGTTCACTCCGCAAGCACCTACAATGGCTGGGGCCGGGATGAGGCTGAAGCTGGCAGCTGGGAACTCAATCCAGGGACCTCGGGTAGATGACAGGGACCCACCTACTTGTGCCATCACACTGCTGCCTCCCAGTGCATGAAGCAGGAAGTTGAATGAGGAGCAGTGTGGGGGAGTTGGCTGGTAAGTCACGTGGCCCTGCTAGGAGCATCTTAACGAGGGCAGCAAACGTCCACCCCTGTGCAGATAATGGCAACAAGAGAAATGAGCTACGGGAAGAAAGGGACACTGAACAAAACAGCATGAAGGCTCTTAAGAGTCCGTCTCTGGCAGCCAGCAACACACAGGGTGCTACTCTCTCCTTCCCGCCAAACTCTTTTGGGGGCAAATGGAAAGGAAATATGGCCACACTGGTTAAGCAGGTACCAGGAACAAATCGGAAATCTTGAGAAATTTGTGGAAAAAGTAGCAAATCGGAGCAGGCAGATGAGAAACCAACGTAGAGGAGTCTAAAACCCCAAATGGCAATGATTGCTTGTGACAAGGAGAAGCCCAAAACCCCAGGTCAAAAGATAGCAAAAGCAGCAGTGAATACAGCGGCCATCACGGGGAGGAACACCCACCAGCCGCCAGAAAAGCTGGCTTTGTTTATGCAGAGCTGCCCACCGATCCCATACAGGATATGCTCAATACCTGCAAAATGATCTTCTGACCCACTCAAAACACAATTTAAAAAGGTAAAAAGATTTTAAAACACAACACAAAATCCACAGCCTCTTACTTATTCATACAGATGAGCACACAAAAACATACATATTTTAAATTTTATAAGAACCCAGAGGGATCCACTATTTCCACCACCCCTTTCTCTTAAAGATCTATTTTATTTTTATTGGAAAGTCAGATATACAGAGAGGAGGAGAGACAAGCGGCCGCAACAGCTGGAGCTGAGCCAATCCAAAGCCAGGAGCCAGGAGCTGCTTCCACTCCTCCCATGCAGGTGTAGGATCCCAAGGCTCTGGGCCATCCTCCATTGTTTTCCCAGGCCACAAGCAGGGAGCTGGATGGGAAGCGGGGCTACGGGGATATGAACTAGCACACATATGGGATTCTAGTGCTTGCAAGGCAAGGACTTCAGCCACTAGGCTACTATGGCAGTCCCATTTTTTCCTTTTTAAAGATAGCTATCTGAGTCTTAGTAATAAGACTTTTAATGTATCACTTTCTTCTCTTATTACCTCTGAATAACAATTATCTCGAGGTGACATGATCTGAAGTTATTATTACTTTATTACTGAGTTACTCCGCCATTTGCAAAATTTCTACCATGAATACTGTAGTACTGCTTGTGTAGAAGAAGCAACGCAATCTGAAAACTGAACTGAAAGTTGATTCCAGAGAGACTGTGGCAAGTATGTTGGTAACTGAGTGAATCAGAAATACATTCCTAACCAACGCCAGGGCTAACATGCTTAGAACCAGGATTCATTATTACATCTCTGCCTGTGCGAAGGCAGGACTCCCCCTGGCCTAGCCACTGCTAGGCCTTTGGTTTATGATATTGCTTACAATAACCAAACTTCGTGCAATAACCAAATTGAAGCATAAAGAGCTTTCCCTGACCTACACTGTATGACACCACCTTGGGATAACTAGAGACAAGGCCAAAGCAGATTCATGGCTTTCCCCTCGCTTTTGCCATGGGCCACATCTCTGCACATGGCCGAGGATATCCTCCCTGTGGCCTCCATACACTAAACTCTCCAATATTCTTTTATCCTTCTAGGAGAACAAGCTACTCCAAAAAATTTCTGTGAGGTTTTGAAATTAGGAAGAGCTAAAGAACAGACATCAGTACAGAGAAAACCATCTTCAAAAACACTAGTGACTAGCTTTTTCTAAGTTGTATCTGTTAGCTTTATAAGCTTCAGAGTAAAAGGGATGAATGAAATTAGCCTAAATGATTAACTTCTGTGATGGTGTTCTCAAGAGTTGTACTCCTGTGTAAGTCATTTGAATTGCATTACCAATGAGAGTAAAGTACAACTATTCAAATGAACACAAAAATTTTATTAAGAATTTACATGGAAGTCCTTTTGAAATCACTGGAACTACATTAGGAAGGAATTAAAACCAGGCTGCATATTCTAAATGGCTCGAAACTTAAAAGAAGCAAAACTGAACTCATTATATTGAGAAAGAATTAAAACTCTGAAATACATTTCAGGGATATACCCAAAACATCTGGATGGCCAGGTAAAAAATAAAAAGTAAAAAGAGGTAAGCTACAACAGGTTTGTGAAAGTCACAAACAGAAGTTTGGATGGTCATTTAACTCGGAATGCCCAGGCATGTCTACCTTTCCAAAGCTGCCTGCCTTCGCTTGTAGAATTTCATCAGACGTCCTCCTTTGCCGGGCTTGGTTTCTGAGATACGCACTCTGATTCTCGCCAAGTTCCTGCGCTCCCTCTTCCAGGAGCACAAACCTAGTGGTGTGGCCCAGAGTTCTCCCACTCCACAGCACGCAGAAGCACACTGCCTGAAAATGACGCTGTGGACCTTCCTGCAGTCCTGTTGGCTGGACCTTCCCTGTGCCATTTGGTACATCGGTAAGTCCTAAAAGTTGGGGTACAGGATGGTCTTGCTTTGGGTAATCTTGGCTCTTTGGCAAGCATGGCAAAGGTTAGAGCCAGTCAATGGAAGGATGGGAGTCCCTGTTTTGAAGTCTCAACCTTGGACCTAAGCAACAGAACAGTGAACAGCCCCAGGAAGTGAGGTGTAATTGTTTTCTGCGCAGTGGTTCTGGGCTATCAGCCATCAAGAAAATCTCTACTAGGATTAGGTATTAAATAACACAGCCCTACAGAATTACCTCATCATAAATCACCATATCCCATCTATTTTTACAGGGTGGGGACGCGGGGGCGGGAGGACCCTGTGCCATTACAGCAGAGAATGAAAATTTCATTATAAAACACTGCCTGCACCCAGCCACAAATGTCTTAAAAATCTTCCTTCTGGTCTCAAGCTTAAACAAAAGCACCTTCCTTTTTAACACCATTTCAAAAAGGCCTACTCATTTGTTTAAAGTGGTAAGATCATAAAGAAAAGAGGCAGTGGTAGGTAAAGCCTTTATTTAATTCAATCACAGGATAAACTTTCCTATAAACTCAGGTTGCTCCAGTTACATTTGAAGTGACCATCCATTTCGTCAACATAGCGATCGTCCTCTTTGTCTCTACAGCTGCTCTGTCACCTGCTTTCCCATGGGAGACAGGCCCAAACAAACACGTCTAACTTTGCAACTAACTCCAAACAACCATTAGAGTATGCTCCTGAGTCCATGTGCACACACTCCCTCAACTCTGCATTTACTGCACGTGTGCCGGCGGTTAGGCATTCCTTCCAGACACTGGGCATGCAAAATTGACAGGAAAGTCCCACAACTGGACTAGATAAGTTTAAAACAAATGAAGTGCAATTGGTCTATTCACAGTGCTGTTAAATCAACATTTAATGCCTTGGCCTTTTGCCTACCCCCCCTTCCCCCCAAGAGACTCATTCCAATGGAATCTAATGTTTTCCAGAATATCTTCTTTTAAAAACAAATCTTATTTAAAAATAAGGCAGAGGCCAGTGTTGTGGCAATGTTGTTAAAGCTGACACATGCCCATGACACCAGCATCCCACTCGAGGGTGAAGTTTGAGTCCTGGCTGCTTAGTTTCCTACACAGCTTCCTTCTAGCAGACCTGGGAACGCAGCAGGAGAGAGCCCAGTACTCTAGCCCCTACCACTCATGTGAGAAACTCAAACAGAACTGCAGGTTCCCAGCTTCGGCCTGAATCAGCCCCAGCCAACTGGAGCTATGGAAGGCAAGATCGCTTTCTCTCTCTGGTCTGTCTCTCTTCGCCCACCTTGGCCCCATCACTTTGCCTTTCAAATAAACAAAATAAATCCTTAAAAAACAAACACCATATGCTATTAAAAATATAGATCTGTATATATATATATATGTGTGTGTGTGTGTGTGTATACACACACAGGAGACAAAGAGTTTAAAAGGACATTTAAAGTAGACTCTCCTATATCCAGCCACAATTGGGCCAACACTGTTCTAAATATCAACTGCAATGAAACACAGCAATATTTTTACAGCAAAGAAGCATTCACTTAAAAGGAGACAAAAGGGCATTGCTGAGTGTCTTCATTTAACAGGGATGCTGAGCAAAGCAGCCCTTCTGTTTCATCACCTCAGGTGAGCCAGGAACTAACTTTTCAGAAATGCGCAAATAACTCATACTGTAAAAATGAAGTTACTGGGCACCCACCTTCTGTTAACAACAGCCACATATCCCACAAGCCTCTAATGTTTCATTTATCTGTGAGCTCTGAATGCAAGGGCAGAGAGAAGCACGAACAGGGGGATGGTGGGGATGGCCAGGAAACTCCCCCTGCAACCTTTCTCCATCCCACCAGCTTCAGGCCCAGGTCCAGGGGCTATTCTGATTGGTCATTTTTGGGGGCAAGGCCCAGTTAGCCTGTGGCCATGGGGCTCACTCTCATGTGTGGGGGTGTGGGGCTCAGAAGGTCTTAAGATCTCCAACTCGAGTTCAACAGAGAAAAGAGGCCTCCTCTGGCTCTAGTTGTCCATCCATGCTCCAGCCCAGTTCATCCCAGTCCTCTTGCCTACCCTGGAGTCTGGAGGCCAAGACCTAAGGCGGTAAGGCAGGTGGTTTGCTGGCTTCCCTTCACCATTGACTCCAGCACACGTGTTGCACACAGGGGGTTGCTTAGCGAGTCTTTCAGTGAGTTAGAAAGAAGTAACCCATGGGGGCCAGCTGCTGCTGCTGCCCTTGGTTGGCAGCCCTTAACGTGGGCACAGTTGTCCCACAGGTGGACTTCCGAGGGCCAGGGTAACCAGTCCCAGTCCTGAAATTGTTTGCAGTGGTACTTTCCACACGCCTTTTGGGTGTCTTCTGGGTTCCCAGGGAGTGCACCGGCGCTCATGGCACAAGCAAGCCAGGGAGACACTCTGCTCTGAAACACTGATTCCTCCAATGTTGTTCAGGAAGCATGGATTCCACCACTTTGTAAAAGATGGTGCAAAACTAGTTCCGGGTTCTCTCACACACACCTGTCATCGCGACTGCTGTGGGGGAGGATGGGGAGGTGGCCCCCGGCAGGATCATGGGGAAATCCATGGGACTGTGTCAGCACTCTGAGCGAGAGCAAGCAAGGCTGATATGGTGGTCGGCAACCTTACCCAGCATTGGCCGGTGGGCTGGCCCTGAAACTGAGGCTCTTACCCGGTGTGAAGTTGTGATAGCAGCTGAGAACAGTAGTTCCTGGCTGTATCCATGCAGGGGGGATTTCTTCTGGCTTTGGGGAGCCCAAGATCACAATGTCTGCCTCTTGAAGCTAAAAAAAAAAAAAAAAACAACAGAACAAAAAACACCCATTTTAATCTGCAGCCTCAGGACACAGGTGACTACTGACTTTGACACAACAAGTCACAGATGGAGAGTTTTGCTCCAAGCTGTTGGCCTGGGCAGAATCTGTTCTAGTCCTTCAAAGCACATCATGTTAATACAAGCAGAACACTCCTTACCATGGCCTTGAAAGAAAAAAAAAAAAAAGATAATTTGAACAATGTCTTCAGTGAGGTCATTCCAGCAATATAGAACTGTGTGCAAGATTATGATTTAACTAACAAGAGTATCAAGGACAGGAAAGGGGAGAGGGAAGAATCTATACTGATGGCAGGCAGGGACAAAAAGACGGCCAGGATAGAAAGCGGCCTGGAAGGCAAACAGGGGCGGTGCTGTGGCAGAGCCAGGACAAGGGCACCAACGTGGGACGCCTGCACAGAGTTTGTACTCGGCATCATCCAAGGTGCCACTGCCCAGAGCTACCACCACGACCACCACAAAACAGGCCAGCATCCCGAATGCAAATGCACACTACACACGGAAACCCCTGCAGCCCTGGGCACAGAGTCACTTCCTCTGCCTGGTTTTTCGAACCCTGTGGGGCCAAGCAGAGGCACTGGTCAACATCTTGAAATCTCAGGACACAAGATGGGGGTGAGATGGAACAAATCCATCCCTGGCCTCTTGAGGTTATGAGTAGAAACCATAGGGTTGAGGGCAGTTCTGCCCTTCTGATACAGGAGTCTTCCCATTGACAGAGTAAGGTCAGATTTTCAATGTGAACACCTTGGAATCATTCATTCCATCTGATCAGGCCTGCTCAGGCGTGCTCACGCCAATCAGTGCTCATGGCTTTTCACTGCCTCGCTTTATCACAGCTCCGGAAGTGGAGTGTCAGAATGTGCTGTGTGGCTCACATGGGAAAGAGCCCATCCCCCAGCTGCTATCACCTTTCATGCCACAGGGCTCCAGCGTCATGCAGTGTCACTATGTCTGCAGCCAAGGTCCCTGGCAAGCTGGGCCAGGCAAACTGCATGTGACCTTGACGTATGGATCTGCACAGCACCTAGATTTTTGCGTGGTGTTAATATTTCAGGGAAAAGCGTCTTCTGATGGGCAGAAAATTTTAAACAACTGTGTGGGGGAAAAAAAGTCTGCCTTTATTTGCATATACCATAATTCCATCCCAGTATTCCTCAAAGAAAATGCAAACGTTTAAGGCTTGCTGCAGATTAGCACTTAAAAATCGCCATTTTGCTTGTTTTAGCTTTTTTTTTTTTTCGCGTACAACAGAAACAATTCCAAAACAAGCATCGTCAACACCACCAAAGATTCAGTTCTCACGAATGAGGCCAAAAAGCGCACCGTGGAGAACACTGTCAGGTCATGAACTTCCTCCACGTGGGGTCTTGGATTCAACCTGCTCTTTTCCTTGTCTGTGAGTCTAGGCAGTCCCATTCTGACCCGTACTCTGGACCCTCATGCACCTCCCAAGGGGCCTGTGCTAATCAGCAACCAGAGACAGTAAATCCTACCGAGAAAAGACAAATATCTCCCCATAGTGATGACCACACCGTAGATGCGGGCTCTTTTTGGAAAGGCAACGTACAAGATGCTTAAATCAACAAATGACCCGCTGAGGACGAGGGGAGATTTTAATGAGCTCAGAACTGAGGAGAATGATCGTCTCCTGGCTGTTCCTACTCGCCTCCTCCCACACTGGAAAGGCTTCGGCCAAAAGCTTTGGCTGGAAACCTTACCTCGTAACAAAATATTGCTCTCTCTGCTGAGACTTGAACAGAGCAGCATGAACCACCCACTCCCCAGGCAAGGGACCAAATGTTAAAACAAAACGAAGGCACAGCTATGCTGACGGACAGCCACGGGGCAGGGGGCTGCTGCGGAGCCTGGACAGCAAAAATCCATCTTTCTCCAAGACAGGGATTTTTTTTAGGGGCAGCAAACATCAGAATGCAGAAGAGGGGAAAGGAGTGAGAGGACAGATTTGGGAAAATCATGGTTTGTAAAGTTGGTGGTTTTGTATTTATCAAATAAAATGCAAATTTGTGGCTATAGAAGACATTTCACTTTCTGCTATCAGTGCCTTTGGAAAAGGGGCCGACGAGAAGCTCATCTGAGTGATTCAAAAAGTTCATGGAAAAATATAAATAAAAGTTAGGTTTATTTTGGTGCAATTTACTTTAGGAAATCCATGCAGCTTTTTTATAAATATGCTTTCTATGAACTTTGAGACCCACTGGGATGCATGCATTTTTTTTTTTTATCAAATAAACATCTTTTTATTCTTTCTTCAATTTTTTGAAATTTCCTTGTACATTCATACATCAACAGTTGGAGGCTAGGGCCCAACACAAGAGTCTAGTGGTTAAATCCTAGCCTTATATGCATCAGGATCCCATATGAGTACTGATTCATGTCCTGGCTACTCGACTTCCCATCCAGCTCCCTGCTTGTGGCCTGGGAGAGTAGTAGAGTTCGGCCCAAGGCCTTGGGACCCTGAAGAAACCTGGCCTTGGAAGAAACCCAGAAGAAGCTCCTGGCTCCTGGCTTCAGGTCAACTTAGCTGTGGCTGTTGCAGCCACTTGAGGAGTGAACCAATGAATGGAAGATCTTTGTCTCTGTCTGTCCTTCTTTCTCTAAACCTGCCTGTAGAGTAACAATAAATAAATCTTTATAAAAAAGAAAACAATGGAGGGTAAGAAAAGGCTGAAGGAGAAATACAGACAGGAGGAGAGACAGAGAGGAAGATCTTCCATCCGATGTTTCACTCCCCAAGTGGCCACAGGGCCAGAACCACGCCAATCCAAAGCCAGGAGCCTAGAGCTTCTTCCGGGTCTCCCATGTGGGTACAGGATCCCAAGGCTTTGAGCCATCCCCGACTACCTTCCCAGGCCACAAGCAGGAAGCTGGATGGGAAGCGGGTCTGCCAGGATTAGAACCGGCACCCATATGGGATCCCAAGTGTACAAGGTGAGGACTTTAGCGTTAGGCCGCCACACCAGGCCCAATTCAACACTTTTTGAAACTGCCTTGTAGATGGAAGCTAAAACCAGAAGCTCACATGCTGGCGGTGCTGTGGGTTAAGCTGCTGTTTGGGACACCTGAATCCCACATCTGAATACTGGTTTCCATCCACATCAGCTACCATGCTTCCAATCGGCATCCCCGCTAATGCGACTGGTAAGCAGTGGATGATGGCTCCTGCCACCCATATGAGACACCTAGATGGACTTCTGGGTTCTGAGCTTCCATCTGGTCGAGCCTGGCTGTTTTTGGCATTATGGGAGTGAACCAGGGTGTGGAAGATCTCTTTTCCCTCACTCTCTCTGTCACTGCCTTTCACGGATGAAATAAACATTTTAGACAAGTGCAGGGAGAGGGGAGTACAGTGTGGGAGTTTAGCGATTGAAACCACTGCGTGCCACATCCCGTTGAAGCACAGTTCAAGTCACAGCTGCTCTGCTTCCAGCAACTTCCTGCCAATACTCCTGAGAAAACAGTGGAAAATGGTCTGAGCGCTTGGGCCCCTGTCACAGACACGAGAGGTCTGGATGCAGTCCCAGGCTCCTAGCTTCAGCTTGGCCATCTGGAGAGAGGACCAGTGGGTGTGACACTCTCCTTTCCATCCTCCCCTCTCTTCTTACAACTCTGCCTTTCAAGTAAATGAATAATCTTTTAAAAAACAGAACAAACAGGCCTGGATGCCAGTCTCCAGGGGAGACAGAATAATGGGGAGGAGAGAGGTTCAGGGGAGCCCTTGGGGAGCACTGTGTTAAATGTTGAGCGAAGGGGAGTAAGGAATGGAGACCCCGGTCTGTGGCAGGACCGAGGAAGAGGTCTTTCCATCCAGGCTAAGGGGAAAGGGTGTGATCACAGCTGTCAGTGACACTCAGGCCAAGCAAACTGAAGCAAAAGACACGCTGTTGGCAGCCAGTAACTCCTGTGATGTTCCCACGGACACACACATCAGTAAGCCTGCGCGGCAGCCTTGTCCCTTGAGCAGTCTGTCTTCCCCAGACAGCCATTTCATCACGGGGCAGAAGAGATGTTCAGCAGAGCTCCTGACTCATCACAAACCTTCCCACCTCGAGTGCCCAGCTCTTCATTAGAAGTGAACTGGACCTCTACCATACGGTTATCATAGTTATCTGTGAATCAGAATCTATGCTTTCCTGCCATATTAAGCACACTAACAGATAGGAATGCTGAAACGACTACTCTGAAATGAAACCGACAAAGCATTTTCATTCATTGTGGCAAGCAAAGATGACAAAACAGTTGTTAGCAAAAAGGTATCTTCTCCCACTCCGTATCCACCCGATGATCTCATCCTGGGAGAACTGTGTCCTTTCAGGAATGGAGTGCATTTCTCTTCTCCACTCTCATCTGTAATCAGTAGAACAGATTATTGGCTTTTAAAGTTATTAAGACCTTTCTTCTGGTTATTTCATAAATCAGAGAGACTACGAGCCAGACAATTGGGAAATAACGATTACAGTCTTAATCTACCATTCTTTCTCCCAAAGGATAATACATGACCTCCCTTTTTCTAACTGCTCCTAAATCCACCTCTTACTTCATCATTCAACTGTCCGTTGGATGAGAAGAGAATGCTGAAGATACTCGGTCATATCCAAACTCCTAGGGAAGACAGCTTAAACCCTCTTGAAGAGAACTTGATGCTTGCAAAACTCAGGATGGATGTTACAAGGAAAAGGCTGATTCCAGCCTAGCAACTCATCAGCAATGATCCCATGCCTTGCTCTGGAAGAGGGATCTTTTGTACGTGACAAAGACCTGGGAGCACAGAGCACAAGAATGAAGGAACGCTTGATGTATGGCTCCCGGAGCAACATAAGCGCACGCAGAAATGGCTGTGGTGGGGGGTAACGCAGGCTCAGGCACACGCATGTACATGGGTGTTTAGCGCTGTACTACCTGACAGGTGTCCCTCCCACAGCACATCAA